GTCACAGCCACAACAGAAGCCACTGCCATTGCGATCCGCCCTACTTCTTCACGTCATACCGCGCCAAACACTTCCCAACAGCGCCCCGATAGCCTCAATCGCAGAGCCTCGCACCGCCATCGCCGCTGGACCGGCCCGTCGAATGCGCTAATCTTGTCTCCGCCCCTGGCCATTCGTCCTCGTCCCTCGTCCTCACCACTCTCCACCCTCAACCCTCCGTTTCATCCTTCTGCCCGCCCTCCAATCTGGCGGCACTGTCGCACCAGTCGTTCGCGGGGCTCGCGGGTTCTACGGCCACAGGCCTCCCTCGTCCCGCCATGAACGACAAGGACCCGCCGCCATTTGGCTGTATGCTACCCTAGCTCCCTCCATCACCGCCACTTCTAGCACTGACAAGTCCGGTCCAGACACCTTCTCCGACGACTTCTTCGACAACGCCGCCCCTCACTATGACAGCAATGGCCCCTCGCTGCTCAGCGACATGGAAAACCAGCAGCTCGATAACTTCTTCTCCTCCACCAACCCCTTCGACCTGCTCGACTCCCAACACATCCCCCCCGCTCTCGACGACAAGTCCACTGCCCACGACTACAACAACTGGGAAGATTTCATTGCCCCGCCCACCGTCCATCGCGTCACCAGCACCATACCCGACCAAGCCCGCCTCCAGACCACCTTCCAACAAGAACCCCGCCACGCTTCCTCGTCCTCGCTCCACGGTAACTTCCTAGCAAACACCCAGGATGAGCTCCAGGCAGCTGCCACTCTCTTCAACCACGCCCAGCCCTCTTATGCAAACGGCCGCTTACATAGTTTTCCTGAGCAGCCAGTTGCGGCTAGTAATTTCCTGACAAACGTCGTGCCCGGTCTGAACCACGCTCCTCTGCCAATGAGCGTCCAACCGCACGGCCTCATGAACCAGCGCATGCCCTCACTGTTGCCGAATCACGGCGGACATGCCCTAGACCCCCAGTTCCCGCCGCAGTGGACAAACAAGGCCCCACAGCACACCCAAACAGACTTTGGTCCGCCATTGCAGAAGATCGACCTAAAGAGGTCTTACACTTTCGGCACGGACAACTCATTCAATAGCCCATCCGGATACTCGGGCGCAAACGGCCGCTCGGCCGAGCACAGCGCGGCAAGGCATTCCATCAACGACGTAGAAGAGACCACCCAGCATATTTTACGAGCAGTAGCAGGCATCGATACCGTGCGTACTACCTCGGCTGCTTATCAAGACTCATCATCAGCCGTTGCCGGTGCGTCACGCGACGATGACGATGACGAGCAGTCTGATGACTCTGCATCTCAGGAAGAGCATGATGACCGACCAGCAAAGAGGCGGAAGAAGTCCATAGCCCAGCCTGGAAAGGAAACCCCGGGAAAGGCTGCGCGCAATGGAAAAGCTCGCAAGACGTCGCTTACAGATGAGAGTAAGAAGAAGCGGGCTGCAACAAGTACCCAAAAGACACATCGCGAAAACCTGACCGAAGAGCAAAAACGAAATAACCATATTCTTTCTGAACAGAAGCGCCGCGATTTAATCAAGCAAGGCTACAAGGACTTGAACGAAGTTGTACCTGCAGTTCGCGGTGGTGGATTGAGCAAGAGTCAGATCTTGGTCGAGGCAGCAACGTTTTTGGAAAAGTTGATCGAGGACAACATTGCATATCGGAAAGTGGCAGGGTGATGAGAGATGAAAGCAAAGATAAAAGACCTGTCTCGCCTGCAACCGACTTGAGCAAGTGAGTTCAGTTGGGTAATGCCTGTTGCATTGACGAGTGCCGATGCCACGAGTGCTCCGCGGTAATTGATTAAGAGGGAAAGGAAAACCTGGCTTTGTTGGGTACCGGGAACTAGAGAAAACAGGTCTTGTCGAGGCTACGGGCGTAGGAAAGGTGAACGAAACAAAAACAAATCTCACTGGACGCATTTTGGGCAATCCACTGAGATAAAATATTCACTCGGTAATCAGGAGTTTATGGAGGCTGCGATACCCCCTTCTTCCTTTTTTTTTTCTAATATTGTTTGGTATGTTGAAAAAGCAGATACATCTGCATACATAGAAAACCCATTTCTACCTGTTGAACATTTGAAGAGCAAACCAAAAACGAAGAGAAAAGTTTATGCAACGTTACTCGCAATTGGGCCCAAATCACATAGCTAAACATGACCTATTTCGTCTTTCATTTCTACTATGCCAGAAAAAACCCCCAACGCCTTCGCAGCCCCTTAAAGATAGAGAGATAGAGAGATAGAGATTTAAACCCCGCCCCCCCTCCTCTCCCCCCAAAAAGAAAATCTACGCCTTACCCATCGCCGCCGCAGCCGCAGCCGCCGTATTCATAACCTCCTCCTCTGGAATCACAATACGCATGGCCTCATCCCTCACCCTCGCCGGCCCACTCTCGTGCCCCCTCGGGACCCCAGGGACCCTCTTCCCCTTGCCCATCTTGGCGCCGCCTGGCCCGAAATTCTTCTTAATCCGCGCAGAGGGATAATCGCAGCGGCCATGATCATTGCAGTACCCCGTCTTGCACTTGTTGTTGCTGCGGCACGAGGAGCCCAGACAAGCGTCGGTGGAGGTACATGGTACGCAGGAGCCCCAGTCGCAGTACTCGTCGGCGGAGCAGTGCGAGGCCGATGTGCAAGGGGCGGGGTGGTGGGTTGGGGGTAGGCAGATGGGGGCTGGGGGGCTTGATCCTGTTGCTGCGATGCGGGGGGCAAGGGAGGAGAAGAGGGCGGGAAGGGAGTCGGTGTGGCACTGGCCTGTTAGGGCGTTGGGGAGGATGGGACCGCGTTTCTGGGCTTCGTATTCTTGTCGTGTGGGGAGGGGGACGGGATCGTTTGCTATGCTTCTCTTGCGCTCCTGGGCCGGGGGCTGGATGGTTGTGCGGGCGGTGCAGGAGCTGCATTTACCAGCTGAGCAGAGAAGATGCGGCTGGCAAGGTGTTTTGGAGGTGCACATGTCGCCGATTTTGCCGGGTTGCGTGGAGTCGTTTGTGCAGACGCTGTTTTTGCATACAAGGTGTGGGAGACAGCCGTCTTGGGCGTCGCAGAGGTGGCCTTCGCAGCCAAAGGTGCAATCGGATTGTTCGAGTATGAAGGGGTTCAGGGGAATTGAGGTGATGTTTGAGAGTCCTAGGCGCTCAATGGCAAATTCTTGTGTGTTCGAGTTTGTGAGCATTGAGCGTAGCTTTTGGGCGGTTTTTTCGTCTTCAGTTAGGGGCTTGATAGAGAACGGAGCTGGGAGGTAAGTGGACCAGTTGAAGTTTGAGCGTGCAGTTTGAGCGGCTTTCAACACCTGCTTGAGAGCGGTCCAGCTGATGTAACCAGGTTGAACGGGATTGATTCGAGCGGTCTTTCCCTCGTGGATGGTTGTGAGGTGCGAGTATAGCTGTTTTTGTCCCGTCAGTATATCCTCTGGTTTTTTTTGCTCGTTGCTGGCGTAAGATCTGAGGAAAAAAAAGTCCACGAAAAGTGACGTACCCAAGGTATTCCCCTATAATTCAACGCATTGCCCTGATCAAACAAGGCTTCTTGCTTGTAAAATAGTCCAAAATCATCATTGTGCACATAACTCCATTCCTCGACCAATAGCAATTTCCCGTCACCCTTCTTTTTCCCTTTGGCACGACCCGTCAGCGTATTTCCAGGCACAAACATGTTCGCCCATGGCGTTCCTGCCGTGGCATCGTGTTGCTTGGAGAAATAACCGTGGATGCCGATAATGTCGATGGCTTTGCAGTCAAACACACTGTCAGGGAAGTTTTGCCACTCATCTGGTTTCTGGGCGCCTGAAACGCCGCCGCTGATGACAGCAATGGAGGAAGCATCGAGGCCGAGTGTAAATTTCAGATGAGAGGCCATGTCACAGATCCAGGACTCGCCAGCAGGAATGGGGAAAATGCCGCTAAAAGGTTGATTCTGGATGTCGACGCCCTGTGTATTGTTAGAAATCCATAAATTTTTACATTTGATTAAAAAAGATACTTACAAGAATGACTTCAGAGAGTGTGCTCCATGAACGTCCGTCAAAGTTTTTGGAAGGGTAGTGTTTGAAGAAGACTTCGAGACGAGTTTTGTATAGTTCTCGGTCTACCAAGCACAATTAACATTCTCCCCATGGAACAAAACAGATTGGAGACTTACATTTATCGGAACTGTAGAAGTCGAGAAAGTATCCACCGAGATCCTTGCAGTATGCGTCGCAGGGAACATCGTTAGATCCCCGAAGTGCGTGCGCATCGTGCGGGGCAATAATGACTTTCATCTGGCCTGTACGCTTCTGTTAACACGTGGAAGGACAATTTCAGATATTGCGGTGTATTGTACCCTTGGAAAGGTGGTGAATAGCCGCCAACGTGTCGTCAAATTGGTCAAGCATGGACCTGTCAAAAGAGCCCAGCTCAGGCTCAGGCTATGTAAATTCGTTAACCAAGTGCCCTCTTTCTTCTCCATAAGCACACTTCTTACATCTCGATGGAGCTCATCTGGGCGTACTATAATTTATTAGTATATCATAATAGAATTTTGAAAACCATCACATACTGAACAGCCGTATAACTCTTGCACCGCTCTTGATGATTTCCTTGATAGTATTATCTCTGTGCTCCGGTGCAAAGAATTGCAGCTGGGGATAATTGACACCACCAAATGAATGATGATCAGCCGTGATTCTCAAGCTGGCGGATACTGGCTCCGTCCATGTCGCTAGTGACACCAGTGTCACAAGAAGTGTTGAGAAGATCATTCTTGCCCGGGAAACAGGAATAGATCCGTGACCAAATTCTCAAACGTTGCCTACTTGACACCATATAAATCTTTTACCAGCATGTGGACACGTATAGGCGATTCCGTACATGGATATGTATTCAGTAGCCGCTACGTATAATGTTTACGATAATGAGGTTGTTCATATAAGTAGATTAATTGCGGTGCTTCGTGCAACCAATCACGCGTCACATAAGGTTAAAGTTGGCAGGGATGTAAACTTTGACGACGGGAGAATCAGATTGACTAGGTAAAACAGGCCATGTGAAAGAAGTCGACGTCGATCCGACTGACATTGCGGCTGCAATAGCCGGCGAGTCGCCTAAAAGAGAAAAATGGCAATGATAGCAGAAAGGTCTTGTGACCCAGAGCGATCAAAACGTGCAATGCCGATCGAAAGCCACTTATGAGTAGCCTTGTATAATGTGGAGCTGTTAGTTTGTTCCTGCTTTTTCCCAAATAGTCTTGAGGCGCGGGGTCCGCTTCAGGGTACGATACTTAGGCTCGGCGAACCGGCGCTGTACTCCGCATCCAAAATGATGAGGCCCGGGAACAAGTAAGATTCCAGTTTCAGGTACGACGCTTCTGTGTCTGTGATCATGTGCAGGTTTCTATGCAAGACTTGTAGTCCCGCCGCAGCCGGCTCTTGTGGAGACATCTATCCGAGCTTATGTCCAGCGTTCATGCATGGAGAAAAGATGTAGAATGGCTGCATCGCACATGCAAAACCTGTCTTGGTGAATTGTACGCAAAGAATCAGACCAACGGTTTTTGTTCATGATGAGTTGCCGCAGGAATGGCTGCCTCGGGCGGGTTTCATCCCACTGGCTTCCCACATACAGTCTCGAGTTGTCGAAGAGCTACAGTGACCTCCTCTCCAAGACTATCACCACTGGTTGATGCAGGGAAGCGACCGTGTCGTAGGTCGCTGAGTGCGCCAACCACGTCTTGCACCTGGCGCAAGACGTCTCTATTCTGCTGCTCTATCTCCGCAATCTGTGCCTCGAGACTTTGGCAGGCCTCTTCAATGTCGGAGTGGACCGTCTGTAGCGTGTGTGGTTTCTTGCGACCCTCGCCGGATAACTGTGTATCGTGTAAGCAGCTGGAGACGGTGTTGCAAGGTTGATGCACACAAACCTCTTGCTCCATCTGAAGTGCAATGGGATCTAGTCCTGCGACAGTTGCATCGTCGACTTGACGCCTCTCGCGCGCATACTCGCGCCTCAGCTGTTTTGATCGCTTGACCTCATCGGCAATGTCTCGACGGACAAGCTCTATGTCCTTGTCGCGCAGTCTTTGAAGCTCCCGGTAGATGTCCTGGACAGCCGGGTTGGCACGATGGGCACGGGGGAATATGTCGGTGAACTCGCGCAGTGTGATGAAGTCGCGTAGGGGAGCTGGTGTTAGTAAGAAGTCACCCAGAATCTTGGCTTCTTGCGAGGGCATGGTCGGTATAGAGACTGTGCAGTGACAGGGCAGTGTCGTTGGTGGGCTGCTGGGAGAGGAGTCCTGACAACGCGACGCGTGCTGGTCCGTGCGAGAAAAGACTCCCCGTGAATCGCCTGCGACGACATTGTAGCAAACGTCGACTGATTTTGTCTGGCCGGATTCATCGGTTGGTTCTTCATTTTGGCCGAAATCAGCATTCACGCTGTCGCTGTAGTCATCTCCGTAAGGCTAGTAGTACTCACAGGGGCACGCGATACGTGGTCGGTGAATCTCGCGCATCTTTTACGCCTTCCCTTCTGACTGCCAAACACTTCAACATCAAAATCGCCAGATATCATCGCAACCATGGCGCCAGCAGCTGCACCAGAGGCAACGTTCAGGAAGGATGAAAAAGTGTTTTGTTTTCATCACGAGCTGCTGTACGAGGCCAAGGTCCTTGAAGTCCGGCCTGTCGAAGGCGACGAGAAGAAGAATGGCTTCGAGTACAGAGTGCACTATAAAGGGTGGAAGAACACGTACGTATATCTCAACTTACTCACTTCACGTCTACTCGCCGTTTCTGCATATCCAACTGTTAAGTCATGTTTGCCTTGTCCCTACATACACTTCAGCCCCCTTTCGCAACCAGGATACCACTGCTTCCGAGACGGGCCTATATCATCTCGAAAACATGCACTCTGCTTATGCACACTCTGCTGGTATCTTTGAGCCAATTTTTAACACTCTGCAGCTGGGACGACTGGGTTCCCGAGGACCGCCTGCGCAAGCTAACCCCCGAGAACCGGGAGTTGGCTAACAACCTGAGACACGAGATGCTGGCCGCTCAACGCGCCGCAAGAGCTCAGCCCGCGCCCGCTAAGAAGAAGGCGCAGGGCTCAGTACGTGGTAGTGAAGAACGACAAAGCTCTGTCACTGCTGCACCTCGTGGTCAAAAGAGAGTTCGCGACAACGACCTCGAAAAGGTATGAAGGCTCGGCGAAGCCTAGCGATTATTATTTTTGCTTCCAGACGACCAGCTAACTGAACCCTAGGAGGAGACATTCCAGAACAAGCTGGCTGTCAGGATTTACATGCCCGACAGGCTGAAAAGTCTCTTGGTTGATGACTGGGAAAACATCACTAAGAACCTGCAGCTGGTGCAGCTGCCTTCAGCGCATCCGGCAGGTGTCATTCTTGATGAGTATCAGAAATACGCCATTCAAACTGGAGCTCGCAGCAGCACTGAGCGCGACATTCTTGAAGAGGTGATTGCAGGTCTCAAAGAGTATTTCAACAAGAGTGTTGGGCGTCTCCTGTTGTACCGCTTTGAGCGCGAGCAGTTTTACGATATCTGGACGCGCATTCAACAGCCGACTGATGAGCTTGCCGGAAAGACGCTCGCCGAGATTTACGGTGGCGAGCACCTTTTGCGCCTTCTGGGTAAGTCGTCCCCAAGAATACGGGCGTTGTGATGATTAACCATGTGTTTTAGTTACGATGCCAGAGCTTATTGCTCAGACCAACATGGATCATCAGGCAGTCACTCGCTTGCGCGAAGAACTCAGCCAGATGACCACGTGGCTGTCAAAGGATGCCCAGATCAACACGTTCTTTGTGCCCACTTATGAGAGCCCAGGACAGGCCTATATTGATAAGGTCAAGTCGAGTACGTAGGAGGATGCCTGGCTCGACAGCGAGAGATCAAGGGCTTCTAATCTGTTTTCCTTTTGAGTCACTCTGACGCAAATGTACTATGATCTGCTGCATGGACGTGGGCACTGTTTGGTTGGCGCACTGGCGTTGTAGTTGGAAAGGTCTGGGGTGAGAGTATTCGGGTGCTACCGACATCTTCTCTTTACACGGATTCTAGCATATTAATATACGTTTCGACGAAGATTTTGTTTTTGTATGTCTGATGACGTCTTAAGACTTCTTGATTACATCCTCCAAGATCCCCACGGCCCAGCTCAGGCATTTGGCCATGTTCTCCTCAGCCTCCTTGGGCATGCCATGAATGTCAGTCTCTGTGCAGACTTTGCTATCTAGCTGTCTGTTGACATCGCCATTTTCAAACAAGAAGCTGTGGTCGTGGACATAGTTGGGCCACACAATCTTGTCTACATAGCCTGGCGGGTCTTGCCAGAAGCCTTCGAGCGTCACATACCCACTCCTGGCCTCACGCCTCCGCTTTGCGGTCTCATAGCTGGTGCGGAGGAAAAGGCGGACGTCAAACGTGGAGCGTATGTCCTTCATGTCTTGAGAAAAGAGGAGGAAGCCATCCACAATGCATATCCGCTTTTCGCTCCATTCTGGCTTGCCCTCGAGCAAACGGGTAATTCGCTCGCGCATTGCTTGAATCTCAGATTCAGGCACGCCATGCTCACCAACGCTGTTCTGGTCTTCTTGACTGACTAGCCAGTCTGGACTCCTGCCCTGGTCTTTGATGTGGTCCAGGGCTTGCTTGAGCGCAGGCAGATTGAGTGACTCGATGCAGTCCCAGTCTTGGATTCCATTCTTAACGGGGATTTGAGCATCCGTCAGGTAGAAGTCGTCGAGATGCAGAATGAAGAGTTTAGAGGGAGGGAATACGTCGCGCAGTAGGCGGGACAGCGTTGTCTTGCCGGAAGACGAGGGGCCCGATATGCCGACAAGGAGGGGCGAGGACATGGTGGTGGTAGTGGTGGTGGGGGTTGTCTACATTCACGACGGTTCCTGATGGCTATGCGTTTGTTGGAGCAAATGAGGCACTGGTACAGGTACTCTGCGCATACTAGCGTCCTATATGCGAGGCGCTTCTATTCGTACATGGGTTGGAACAGCCTTGACATGCAATCTGATCTCACACGTGCGAAATGGTGGGGCCATCGATCGTCGACGGCCCGCTAATTAGGTCCCCGTGTCCCAAGCCTGCACGACGCGACACCAGCACTTATACATACGTACGCACATATATGTTACGATTGTGCCTGCTCGGCAGAAACAATTCACGCCAGCAGCCATGGAGCCATCGCCGCTGACCCAAGTCTCGCGGCCCCAGATCTTCCAGCCCAAGATCATTCACCTCTACGAAACCCTATTCAAGGTGTGTTGGTGTCGAATGCGCCTCAACACCACGCCACTGACCCACGACAGCAAACAGACGATGAGCCTGTGGAGCCGTCGGAAGGATTCTGGCGGGAATTCTTCCTACACAAGCCAGAGCCAGCAGGCCTCAAGCGTGTCCTCGCCTCGATGGCGCCCGACGAGATGCTGCACCAGCAAGCCCATTCGCAGCAACTGTTTAGCCAGGCCATGTTGCGCATAAAGCAGGCCAAAGCCCCGGCCGACGACATTGCCCTCGAGGTACGCCTACGAAACGCGCATTCACAGGCCGCACGCGCTTACCGCTTAGACCTTGACAGTCTTCCTCGACGCCGCCCTTGCTAAGAAGTACACCAACCCAAGCTCCGACATCATCTCTGTCCTCGCTGGTCTCAACGATGCCGATGCCGTCATGACCGACTTTGTGGCTACACTGGACACTGCCATACGCAATGGACGAGACAGTATGTTGTCTCACTATTAGCTGTAGCAGGAAGCTGACCACAACCAGTATCACTGCGCCAAAAGGCGATTCGATGCGCTCTCGCCATGACTGCTGCGGGCTTCCAAACAGCACTCCCCTCCTACTTCACCCACCGAGACCTCTTCCCCGCACTTGTCAAGTATACACACGACTGTGACAACAGCACGAACATCCTGCCTGCCCTATACCTTCTCGGTCTACTCGCCAACTACAATAAATTCGAGTTCCAGAATCCCTACAGACTGCGACTGGAGGATTTCGTAAACGATGCCATTATACAAGATATGATAGCATGTCTAGGCGCTACTTGCAAAAAACTGCGCGACGCCTACGTAGCCGTTCAGGATGACATGCCCGAGGGCTGGACGCTGGGCTCGACGTTGAGCTACATTGGCTTGGGTGCTCTCGCCCCAAACTCTCGACCTGCATCACCCGTGCCCCCACCCCCGGACGAGGCAAAATCCCTCTTTGCTGGAATGTAAGCATTAATGACTGTAACATACTCAACAACTACTGATAATCATCCAGGCCAGGCCCAGAGGCTGGCGTGCTTCTCTCTACCTTTGACTTTGCCAATGCCAACAAGGTTTTCTGTTACAACCTGGTTACCTTCGGGCTGGACAACAAGAGCCAGTCGTCGCCCTTTAGCGAGTTCCTCTCTGTGACTTCGTACATGTTCCAGCATGCACATCGGTCTAATAGAGCTGCCATGTACACGTATCTAAATCTGTTCGTCCTGCAAATACTCGTCGAGGATCCGGCGCTCTGTAAGCGCTTGTGCAGTGACGAGACGAAGCTTTCGGTGCGCCTGTGTCGCCAACGACAGCCCTATCTCCCAATTGTGAGAGGCGAGCGAGTTCCTGCAGCCATCATCTTGGACATGATGTCCGATGGCATCAGCCACAACCTACGGAGACGATTAGATGTAGATTTTTACATGTAAGTCATTTGCTGCTGTTGTTAAAATTTCTTGGCTAACATACGAAGCCTATGTCTTGGTGTTTTGTTGCGGCTGCTCTCGTACCTCAGTCGCACAAAAGCCCGCATCACATATCATTGGTCGGAGCTTTGGAGAACACTGCTATCGTTTGTCCGGTTCCTCACCACATACGAGAGTGACATCAAATCAAACTACAAGTCAAATGGCATGATCAATCTCTTGGTCAATCTGTTGGCTTTTGCCCTCTCCAGCGGAGAAAACTTCCTTCCCGACTCTGCGGCATACGATGATCTCTTCTACAAACTAGTTGAGAGTGGCGACGTTCTCATCAAATTCAGAGATGCCTTTGGCCTGTCTGGTCAATCTGACTCGATGCAGACACTTGTGAATGTCTCATCTCACTACCATTCGCTGCTTGAAGAGAAGGGGAAATCACGCAGCAAGCACCTGAGTCCACAAGAAGTGCAGGCGGTGATCAAGCAGGGATATGAGACTCTGTCCATTGATGCCAGTGAAGGCTTGGATCGATGGGAAGCTTTCCGTGAAGCGGATTTCAAGTCGCTTCTGAAGAAGATTTCGAGGGCCGCTGTGGAAGATGCCAAAGCTCTAAACAGCGATAGCTGAGGCCAATTATTCAACGATATCCATTACAACACGATTCGTGGCAACGGGGTCTGCATGATACCATCTGGGTTACTTGTCAGTAGCACAAATGCAAAACACCAGTAATGAACATTCATCCAAGAGCGTTTGGTTGCATATTTTGGCACCAGGGCCCTGTTGAGCGGAATTACGTGCATGACTGCGTTCTAGCTGCGTCTGTTAGCCGTGTTACTTGGTACACCCAAAGACAAGACCTCGAGTACATGTCAGCACTACAGCCTTGAACCTGGTTGCCGGTGTCAATCAGGGATTCACCAGACTTATACATTGCCCTCAATTCCCTGTAGCCAGTGCGAAACGTCGTATTATTTTATTTCAAGACCAAGTGTGTGATTTTTGTTGATGTCCTGAGACGCTTTCCTTCTTCACTCAAATCATAGACTCGCTGTTTGCAAGCAATGGCTTCTGTACCGCCTCCTATGACTGACACTGCCGCGAGGCTAAGAGAAAAGGTATTTGTGTTGTTCTGTGTGTGGAGGCTGTGTTGACGATGCTACTAGAATGTGTCTGCCGCCAATTATCCACAGGTGGCACCGCCGGCCCATCTGAAAGTAGCAGGTGATGCCACAGCTGACGCTGCAGACGGGAGCACTCCTCCTTGGGATGGAAATCATGACACGCATCCAGCGATGGCCAATACGCCTATTGATTACCCTGAGAAGTTGGTTACACCCGCAGGCTATCACCTCGGGCCCCATGGTGAAGGCTGGAATTCTCCTCGTTCGTCTTTGTCAAGATACCGGCATGAGTACTCGACGCTCTCTCCAGTCAGATGCGAGAACCCAAAAATGATAGGATTCATGACGAGTCTTTTTGTGCCGACTCCAAAGACGAGGCCTAACTATGATGTTATGGCTGAATATCAAGGACTCAAACTGAGTCGTATTAGTGATGCCGTTCCTTACTGTACGTACCCTTTTTGGTCGCATTACTGGGGAGAAGGTTGCTGCTAACATCTTCTCTTCGTCTAATCCAGTACTCGGGCCTCGCAGCATAATGGACAGAATCCAAGTCGTACTCGAGCACTCGCAGGAGCGCCTACATCCATCTTCCTCCCACTACACAACCTCTTCTCAAGACACTCCGCAGCCAGCCTACACTCCACGAGACAGAGCACTCATGGCGATCCTAGCCTCGCTCAGCACACCCGAAAGCCTGCGTCTGGAAAAAGGAGACTGGTACCCTCAAGGCCTAGCCACCCGCCACGACGCCCTCGTCCTATACGAAAACACGGCCAGTAACGGCATCCGCCTCGCATACGTCTCGCTCACCGACTTCATTCAGCACGCGCAAACATGGCTCCTCACACCCAACCCCACTAACAAATCCGGCGACGCACCCCATGCCAAAAACCCCTGGTCCCCAGTTGCCGCCCAGCTCCGCTCCAGAGGCGTCGACGTCTCTAAACTAGACCTGCAAACCTACCTCGACCTAACCCAGCACCTCTCCGCCTCGGATCTCCCCGCCAAACTCGACGAAATTGGCCAGTGGGCCCGTGACGGCACCCTCGACGCAAGGTACGAGAAGTTCATGGCGGAAAAAGAAGCTGCTACTGCACAGGCCAGGAACCGAGGCTCACACCCTCTGCTGCGAACTTCTGGTCCCAACGACGCCGCGAACACAGTGTTTGGCGGCCCCGAAGCCCTGTACTCCAAGCGCTTCACGCACGAGTATCCCATGGGACGGGCGGCTTCGGTGAAGGCGAAGCGGCAGCATCGCAGTGAGCGGTCGAGGGAGGAGGTGGAGAAGACTGTTTTGGCTAATGCGGAGCGGATTCGGAAGATGGAGAGGGGGCGCTTGGGGGGGACGAGGGGGGAGGGTGTTTTGGTTGTGGATGAGACGGAGAAGAAGAGGAGACGGAAGAGGCATCGAGCTTTTTTTGTCACCTTTATGGTTGTCTTGTTTGGAGGGGCGGTAGGGGCGATGTTGTGGGCTATGGGGACTAGACGGTGGGATTTTACAGCTGGGGGGCAGACGCAGTGAGTTGGGGGTTTGGTGAGGAGTAGAGGTTCTTTTTTGGGGGGGCTTTTGGATAGTAGTTACGTTGATTTCTCGTGTTTTAGTGAGAAAAGGGACCGCTTTTTTTTTGGAGGAGAAGGAGATTACACCGCTGTTGAATTATGGTACTATTTTTTTTTCCTTGACAAAAAAACAGATCGATAGTACTGACGTACGGTATGCCAAGTTATCTCAAAGCGCCCATTTCCCTACTTCCCACTAAGGAAGTTACTTTACACTAGCAATAGCAATCCACGGAACTACCCGCAACTCCCCTCCCCTCCCCTGAAAATACAACTTTTAATCTCCTTTCCCAATTTCCACGCCCCTTCTTTCGTTCGCCGTACTCCACCGTCACCACTCCAAAAAAAATCCAGTCCAGCTCCCTCCCCCCTTCTTCTCCCCACCAAAGATACTTCTCCCTCTCTTTCTCTCTCCACATCTTCTGTTTGAAATTTCCAATAAAAAGTAGTTCCCACCCTTAATCTCCCCTTAACTTCCGCTCCCCCCCACCCCACATCTGCACCAATCAAATCAGATTATACTTACTCTAACCCCTCATCACAACCACCATCATCATCCCCCAAATTTTAATAACCTTCAAGTAGTATATACCCGTTACCCATGCACAAGAACACGGGGTTTGCACACTGGAAATAGCGATCGACGGTGGAAACTAGTTTCTTAGAATATCTTTTTGTTGAGGGGGGGTGCGGTTGGTGGTTTCCCTTGTGGCTTTGAGCGCTTGTTGGCTGGCGTGCCGGTGCAAGGGGAAGCTAGGGTGTCGGGGTGGTTGGAGCGGCCACGTGGAAAGAGAGAGAGAGAGAGAGGAAAGCTAGAGCGGTAGAGTTTTGGTGGACGGGTGGTCTGGGCTTTTTTTCTTTCTTAGGTTGGTAGCGGTAGTGGTGAAAGGATAAGAGAAAGATAAGGAAGGTTTGGATGATGCGGGACTAGAGCGTACGTATCGATTAGATTGTGTACGCAAGTCAAGTACTGTGTACTTGTCATTTTCGGATTTTTTTCCCCCCCTATCATCTTTTGCTTAGTTTTGGTGGCTCTCTCTGGATTTATTGATACAAAAATCTGGCCCATCTAGGTGTCTACAACCACACCTTTTTTTTTTTTGCCTTGCTCCGTAATGTAAGACGAACCCGGAACTATCCATCCATCCACTTTTTTTTTCTCCTTCCCGAGACATCCGGAACTCAAATGCAAGTGCGCAAGAAAAAAAAAGACAAAAAACTAAATAAATAAAATAAAATGAAATCAAAAACTCACTTCCCCCCAGGGCATCCAGACCATCACAATCCCAATNCCCCCCAACCCCTTCCCTCTCTCCCCGCCTCAACACCGCACAGACACGTTCCTTCACGGTCCGACTGGGCCCCAACCCTCTCCCATATCACACCCTCCGAACCGGGCGCTCAACGTTTCATACACACGCACGCAACAAAAGGGATTTGCAACCGCTGAAACATACCCACGCAACCCCCTCCCCCCTTCTTCCCAATTCCCTTCACTTTCCCTTTCTTAGTAAAGTAACAACCCGGAAAGGAGACATTTTTTTTTTGGTATGGTGATCTGCTCCTTCCGGATCCCGCTCCCAATAAGGCAACAACAGAAACGGGCTTGAGAAAACGAGGCAAGGATCGTTTGTGTGTGTGCGTGTGTGTGTATATTCGCGTTTCACATGTCTTACTGTTTTTTTAATGTGTTCTGGAATGAGGTTTGATAGGGGATGGATGCAGATTGGAGGGGCTGTTGGCTTAGAGCTTAGGGTGTGCACGTGTATTCGTAAACTACTACTATTCTACTACAAATTTGGTGCTATTTTCCTTTAAGGGGGGGAAGAACAGTGGTTAGGTGGGCTGGTGTGGCTGTAGTTTGGCTCGGCGTTGCTTGAGTGGCGGGAAAGTGGCGGGATTGCGTAGTAGCATTAGTTTAGTGGCATTTGGGAGGATTATTTTGTTGATGATGTTGCATCCGCAAGTATACTACGCATACGTAGTGTGTCTGCGTGTCCCTTCTGCCCTTTTTTATTTGTTGCATTTTGTATGGTTGGTTAAGTTTCCAGATTCGTCTCGGTTTGTCGGATCTTTTCATTAGTGTTGCGACAAGGAAAATCCTCGGTAGGGGGAGGAGGGGCGGGGGGCATAAGCATGTGATGATGTCATTGTACATTGCGCGTGCGAGATTAGAGTTTCTGTTCCAGCTGCGAGTCCGAGGTTTTGCCTTTTAATGTGCGTTTCTCTTTCTCTCTATGCACCTATGCGTCAGCAATGACAAAGCACGAGGCGCAGAATATTCCTTGGCCAAGCCGGAGAAAACGAGTAAGATGATATAGTAGATGTTTCCGTTTCCGATTTCAGGATACGAACAGCGACGTGTCAAATGGACGCACGTACTTATTACACGGCCGGTAAGGATCAACAAACCTGGTGTTCGCTCGAGCGCGCACGCGCTGCAAAAGACCCCCACTTTTTTAGTGTGTGCAATCGATCACCACCAGATTTGGCGATATAGCACCCATGTGCGCGTGCTTCAATCAGATGGTCGCGTCACGGACAAATATGTTCCAAGATTCGTAATCCATGTTCGATATGTGATATTGTAATGTAGCATGTGTGTGTGAGATCCATCCAGACTCTACTCTAGGTGATAGAGAGAAAGGAGATAACAAAGGAAAACGGCGTATTAGAAAAATATCTATGTAGTAGTATATGGGTAATAGTGGAAAGAAAAATGCAATGCTAGTGGATTGGATCCCCCCTGGGGACCAATATGCAGGTGGTATCTTGAAAAAAAACAATAACAACCCAACGGCAACGCCGAAAATGCTTACAAACGCCGCCTATCGTATTCCTTTACATTGTGACACTCGTATCTCTGTCTTGTTGCACTCGTCATCATGTCTTGTTACTCGTCATTTGTGGCTTTGAGTGTCGTGATCAGCTGCTGTCGTCGCTTGTGGTGGCTTCGCTGGCTGATGACGAAGACGACTTGTCAGATGACGGCAGAGGGCCGAGGGTCCAGCGCCAGTCTCTTGTCCTCTTCCGTCGTCCAGCGATGGGGGTCTGGGGACAAGAGTCGCTTTCGTCTTCTGACGAGGACGAATCTCGCTTATCGCCAGCGCGTGGACCTTTTGACCGCGGCGAGCTCTCGGCGGATGCAAAGGTCGAGGTGGATTTTTGGAGCGACAGCTGCAGCGGCGATATGCTGGTCGTGGAAGAGGTGTTGGAAGTATTGACAATCAATGAGTGGTGTGCGGCTGACACGTCCGAGTCGGTGGACGAGGCAACGGACGAGATGGTGGACAGGGTAGAGACGGACGACTCAAGGTCAGAGTGGGCCATTGTGTACCTGGTTGTGGTGATTTCCTCCTCGAGAGGGGTGCGGAAGCAGACGTGCTTCTCTGCGGGGAACATGGGGCGGCTCGAGGCCATCTTGCGCGGTACAATTGAGCGAGCCGGGCTGTTTGAGAGGATGGAGACGAGGTTGTGGGGTTGCTTGTAGGGCAGCGCACTGGTGGCAGAGTCGGCCGAGGCTGATGTGAGGGCGGAGGAGAGGGTGGAGGCAGAGCTGGGCGTCGAGGCGCTGTTGTTTGCAGCAGCGGGTAGGTCGCTCTCAATGGACAGGGAGGGTCTTTGTGGGCGCTGCAGCGTGGGGGCTGTCGAGGGGCGCTCGTAGGCGTTTGTGTACGTGTTGCGGACAGTCGGGGAGGCGGCACTGAGCGTGTCGAGACGGAGGCTGGCGCCCTTTCCTAGGATGCGAGGCTGCTCGGTGTTGATGGACAGCTTGGGGCGGGCGGGTTGCTGGCGCGGCGGGGGTATTATAGGCAGCGAGGCGGTCATGGTGGACATGGCAGATGATTGCGAATACGGCTTGGGCATGGAGGGGTGTGACGGCTGGATGGTCGAGAGCATCATGTGTGCAGCCCGGGGTGCTGGCGGGGAACGGGCGGGCAGATGATGCGGCGGCGGTGGTCGTGTGGCCTGGTGGTGGGAGTGGTGGTGGTGTAGTAGCTTGGATGGAGAAAAAACGAAATGGGGGCGTGGGCGTGGGCGTGGGCGGGTAGGCGGAGGGGTGGTGAGGGTATTAAACTGCGGACGGGATGCCACCAACCAGCGCCATGGACCCGCCCGTGTCCAAGGGCGTCTTGACGACGGCTACGACGAGCTTCTCGCGCTGGGACACGAAGCGCTTGGCTGGGGGGAGGGCTTTGCAGCGACAAGGTCCCAAAATACCCCCCCGGCTAGCGCGGTCCAAAGATAGAGTGCGGAGCGTGGCAAAAAAACACTACAAGACGCAGCATCCAACCGGCCGGCCTTGGCACACCGCCGTTGCGTCCACACACAGCCCGCCTTGACGCGCCTCAATCAAGCCCAGTCGAGCGCGGCCAGTCGCCGGCCTCCCCGCACACGCAGCCCGCCGAAACACGACGCTGCTGCTACCGGCCTGCCCTGCGACATGTGCTGCCTCTGCTGCCTCTGCTGCCTCTGCTGCCTCTGCTGCATCTGCATCCATCGGCATCCCATCGACACTACCACCTGCCCTGCCTACCCACCGACCCAGACTTGCCATACATACGTACACTACCGCACTTACGCCCTGCTCCCTTGCGGCACCGCTCCCGGCGCTTCCACCATGCAGCCCGCCGCCGCTGCCACTCGTGGCCCTCGTCGCAACAAGACCCCCCAGCGCCAGACCACCTCCATCATCCTCCACTTTGTTCGTAAGCACCAAGGCCTCCACTACCACTGCCGCCTCTCAGCCTCGGCCGCCCAGCTAACGCCCTGGTCTTTCGTATCCTCCAGGACTACGTGCGTCTCTGCTTACCCGCTGCGGCAAAAGTAGTTGCGCAATCACTAACCCTGCCTGTATTCGTCTCCACAGGACTGCTTCTACGCAAGCGTCTTTGAACACGAAAACCCGGCCTTGAAATCTGTCCCTCTGGCCGTGCAGCAGAAGCAAATCCTCGTCACCTGCAATTACGAGGCCCGCTCCCGAGTATGTCTCGATGCGTCTGCGCCACATGCTCGAGTCATCTGTCATTGACTCTCCGGCTTGCCAGGGTCTGCACAAACTGCAGCTGATTCACGAAGCCCAAAAAGCCTGTCCGGATCTGGTCATTGTCCTCGGAGAAGACCTGACCCGTTTTCGTGATGCCTCCAAGCTCCTCTATGCCTTTCTGCGCTCCTTTTCTTGGAACAAGCGTTGCCAGAGGCTGGGTTTCGACGAGGTTCGTTGACCCGCTGCCCTGTTCTTGCTCGACCAAGGCCACCTCCGTGTTGAAACATGCCTAGGTCTTCTTGGACGTCACCGACATGATCGAGCACAACGTGTCCATCCTCAATGTCAATGACCTCAGCAACTCCTTCTTCTGTCTTGCCAAGCATGACCCCACAGTCGGCTTCCCTTACGATGCAACACGCCTGACTGGCCATTTGTATCCCGAATCGGTGAATGATGATGGCTTAGGTAAGCCAGACACCGTGGCTTGCGAGAGCATCCAAACTGCAAGGCTGACGCTCGCGGCTGTTGAGCGCCTACTGAGACTCGTGACCATGGCCCATCATCCTGCCACCAACATCCTCCCCGCCCGTCGCGCAGCCATAGCCGTTTGTTCATGGCGCTAATGTGCATTAGGAACCACTTTGTCAGATCCTCTGCTTCTCCGATTGGCCCTGGCTAGCCATCTGGCGCACCATTTGCGGACGAGGCTCGAATCCCACATGGGCTATACTGCCACTGTTGGTGTTTCGACAAACAAGCTACTGTCAAAGCTTGTCGGTAACACGCACAAGCCCAACGCTCAAACAACCCTGGTCCCACCCTACGTTTCCGACGGGGACAGTCAAACTTTGGATAATGTGACACGCTTCCTTGACGCGCACGAAGTGGGCAAAGTTCCTGGAATAGGCTTCAAAACGGCCCAGAAGCTTCGCGCGCACGTGCTGCAGCGCCCAGCAAGTTTCGACGCCGGCTTGGTATACGGAGCCACCCAAGAACATGTTTCTGTGCGTGATGTGAGGATGCACCCGGCCATGGGTCCAGACATGCTCGACAGACTCTTGCATGGCCCCGGTGTGCCCCAAGGTACCGGAGCCAGAATATGGAGTCTACTCAACGGCTGCGATGAAACCAAAGTCGAACAAGCCCGCGAGACTCCACGGCAGATTAGTATAGAAGATAGCTATCTGCGTTTGACCACGTTAGATGCGGCAGTCAAAGAGCTGCGTGTGCTTGCCAAGAGACTGATTGAGAGAATGCACACGGACCTGCTTGATGAGGACCAAGATCATGTCCAAGACCAAGATGCATCTTCAGTCCCTTCAGAAACTGCAAAGCGATGGTTGGCTCACCCAAGAACCATTCGTCTATCCACAAGACCTCGCCCGCCTCAAAACCCAGATGGCGGTCGAAACCGGACCTTTGCGCGCATCTCCAGGTCTGCTCCCATGCCTAGCTTTGTATTTAGCCTCAAAGACGACATTGCCTCGGTGACTGAAAAGCTACTTTGCGAGACACTTGTTCCGCTGTTTCGGCGACTGCACCCCGACAAGGGTGGTTGGAACCTCAGTTTGCTGAATGTCGCTGCTACCAACATGGCTGATGCTGCGAGCGACAAAGGCGGCGTTGGAAGAGATATCAGCAAAATGTTCAAGCGTCAAGACGAGGCCCTGCGCCAACGGAGGGTCGAGGAACCGCCAGCCGCTGTTATGGAATCGATGCAAAACATTATTACAGGGGATGGTTCGGGCGACAAGCCTGACGTGGACGTCTTGAGTGACAAGATTGCTGCAGCGTTCGGTTCCGAAGACGTGCCGACGCCTTCTCAGGAGGTCGATACTTCGGCTGCCGATGCATGCAAGATGCAGTACGAGAGTACTAGTATCACTGACAGGGATTCATTCAATTGCAGCGAGTGTGGTGCTTTGATGCCGTTATTTGCCATGGGAGCCCATTACCGTTGGCATGCACAGAGATAGTCCGAGAAATAAGCACCAATAAGCACAGATGCGATCAGTGACTCTATGACAGATTGGAATTGGTGACCCTTGATGACTGCTACCCCGCAAAAGAACGATCTTCCCTGAAGGCCCTTCCTAAAGGGGCAACTCCCCGCAGAACCCGAGATCCGACCCTTTATGATGGGCGCTTCGGAGCGGCTTCCTTGGCACTCCGCCGTTGCATGTGAACCAAGTGACCTCACCCACAAGGCAAGCTTTAAACAAGGCGCAAATCCGCCGTTGCAATGTCCACATCCTACTGAGCATTCAGCCCTAACAATCCTACACATCCTACACAATGCCTGGCTCATCACAACTACCCATCAGTCTCCTGCGCGACACCTTCATTGCGCGCAGGAACTCGCCCAACGGCCAATTCATTGCCTTTAACATTGATATGTAAGTCTTCTGGTCAAACGAAATGCAGTACAACATCTTCTAACGCTCCGAATAGTTTGCGCAATATTGTTTTCCTCTACTTCGTTCTACGATGGTCGCGCATCACCTTTTACCAGCTCAAAGGTCGCGGCATCTTCGGCTCGACCGTTGACGCATACTTGAGCATTCGTCGCTATCTCTACGGTGTCTTTCTGCGACTTCCCGGTGTTCGCGACAAGGTCCACGAGCAGGTTTCTGAGTCGATCATGGGTCTGGAGCGCAAACTGGTACCCAGTGGACCTGGCGTTCAGCGCCTGACCAGCCTACCGGCCGAAGGATGGAGTGAAGACGAAGTGCGCGCCAAACTTGATGAGCTAGCCAACATGGACCATGCCCGCTGGGAAGATGGACGAGTCAGCGGTGCAGTATACCACGGTGGAGACGACCTGATCCGACTACAGACGGAAGCTTTTGGCAAATTTACCGTGTCGAACCCCATCCACCCCGATGTGTTCCCTGGTGTAAGGAAGATGGAGGCTGAGATTGTGGCCATGGTATGTCCGATTTGCAGGCACTGATCAATGACATGACTAACAACTACCAGGTTCTTTCTCTCTTCAATGCCCCCCATGACGCTGTTGGTGTTACGACTTCCGGCGGAACAGAGTCTATCCTCATGGCCTGCCTGTCCGCGCGCAACAAGGCTTACAAGGAGCGTGGAGTAACGGAGCCCGAGATGATTCTTCCCGAGACCGGACACACCGCTTTCCGCAAGGCCTGCGAATACTTCAAGATTAAGGTGCATCTTGTGGAATGCAAGGCTCCGAGCTACAGGGTCCATATCCCGTCTGTCTCCCGTTTGATCAACCCCAACACAATCATGATGGTCGGATCGGCGCCCAACTTCCCCCACGGTATCATCGACGACATCTCCGCGCTGAGCAAGCTCGCCTACAAGAAGAAGATTCCGCTACACGTTGACTGCTGTCTCGGTTCCCTGCTCGTTCCTATGCTCGCCAAGGCCGGCTTCGATAACGAAATTTTTGATTTCCGCCTCAAGGGCGTTACCAGCATCTCTTGCGACACACACAAGTATGGATTTGCGCCCAAGGGTAGCTCAACTGTGCTCTACCGCTCTGACGCATACCGCAAATATCAATACTTCATCTCCCCAGACTGGTCCGGCGGCGTATACGCATCGCCATCCATTGCAGGCTCTCGTCCCGGTGCTCTGATTGCAGGATGCTGGGCAAGTCTCGTCAAGCAGGGTGCAAACGGCTACCTCGAATCTTGCCTCAAGATTGTTGGCGGCAGGCAGAAGATTGAGGCCGCCATCCGTGAAAGGCCCGAGCTATCATCCGACCTCAAGATTATCGGTCGCCCCATGGTCTCCGTCGTAGCTTTCCTCTCAAACACACTCGACATTTACGACATTGCCGACGCCATGGGAGCCAAGGGATGGCACTTGAACGCTCTGCAGAACCCACCTGCCATTCACGTTGCCGTCACTCTGCCTATTGTTGCTGTTGCGGATAAGCTCATCAATGATTTGATCGAGGTTACCGAGGAGGTCCGAGAAGCTGAGAGGAAACGCATTGCCGAGGGCAAGGGAGCAAAGGGAGCAGTCAAGGGTGATACCGCAGCACTCTACGGTGTTGCTGGCAGCTTGCCCAACAAGAGTGTTGTCGAGGACTTGGCAAAGGGTTTCCTCGACACGCTGTACAAGGCCTAAGCGGATTGCATATTCTCATTGCGATGATCATGAGCATGTATTTCTTTTGGGTTTCCTTTTTCCTTGTTTTTTTCCCAAGTCGCATTAGATGTATACATCCTGGTCAGTTTGTTCAAAACCTTAGATTGGTACTCAAGGCTGCCAAGTTAGAGTGGAGTTTTGTATTGTAATCTGGATCAGGAGAGGGTCAGGACTGAAGAGGCTTTCCTTGGGTATCAGCGTTGTAGCCTTGTTCTTTTTTCTTGGAGCAATTGAGTAGCAGAATAAAAGAATTTCAACAATGTGTTTTTTTTTTCTTTGAAAAAAAAAACCCAATCACTCTGGTGTGACTGAGTCTTTTTTTTTTAAATCTCCCGGCCTGCAAAAATCGTTTCAATAATCATACAAACACATTTTTTTTTCTTTCATCTACAGCGCCGCCCGTGGCGAGGTGTTTACTCCCACCGAACTGGCCTCTTGCAACCTCGCCGCCGTCTGCTCCAGCGGCTCCTTCCTCCTCGGCCTCTTCAGATCCTCCTCCGTAACGCCATTCACGCCAACCTTTGTCAACCCCATAACCGGGGGATCCCCCTTCTTCACAAACTCATACAAGCCGGGCAACTTATTGCCCGCCAGTCTAAACGCATCCTTGACAACCTGCTCATGCAAATCGCCCTTTATTTCAAAGATGATCTTGCTAACCGCGACCCTGGCGGTCCACCGATCAAAGCTTCCCTTTCCCTTTCCCATACGCACATCGTTGCCAGACGTGTAGACGCCAATGTTTGCGGCGACGCGCATGTAGAGGCGGAACTTCATGCCGCGGAGGCGCTTCTTGATGGTCTCTTCGGCGATGCGGAGCTGGTGTGCTGAGATGCGGCGGTCGTGGTCGCGCATGCGCAGGCCGTAGTCGCCCCAGACGACTGTGGTGCCGCGCATGCTGCCGCCTGTGGGTACGTGGCAGCGGCCTTTTCGTGATTTGCGCGATTCACCGGCTTTCGGGGCGAGGTATGAGGCGTGCGAGGGGGTCGAGGAGAAGAGGCGCACGCTGCTACTACTGTTGCTGGGTGCGAGGGGTATGGTGAATTGGCATTTTGGGAGACGGGAGTTTTGGAGTACTGAGAGAGGGTTAATGGTGGGTTAGGAAGGTGGGTGTTTCTTTTCTTTTTTGGCATCGTACGTGTGGGACGGGTTGCGGAGAGATTCAATTGCTTGAATTGAGATAGTAGACTTGGTGATATCCTTGGTGGAGGCATGGTTGTTGTGTCTTGTGGGTGGGGGTTGACTTTGGTCAGTTGCGGTGCCGGTGGTGTATAGTTGGGAACATTGAAGTTCTGCCCGCGCCAAGATGTGGCTGATTGCCTGCCTGTGGTGTGGCTTTGCCCGCCCCAACTGCGTAATTGCCTAATGACCGCGCGTGGTCGCGTCGACTCACGTCCGTTGCGCGCCGCCCACCAAAACCAACTCCGCCACTAGTCACCCTCAAACTTTCCATACTCACACCCATCTGACTGATCAACGCGGCAACCCAATGGTAGAGTAGTAGTGTGTGGTTTTCTCTGACAATTTAAAAATGCCAGCCGATATTCGCAGCTTCTTTGGTGGTGGGCCCCCGAAGCCTAGCCAGGGTTCCCAAAAGGATGAGCCTGCACCTAAGAAGGCTGCACCCAAGAAAAAAGGTCGTACGAGTAGGGTCGTAGAGGACTCTGATGACGATGAAGAAGAGGCAAAGTAAGTGGAGTGTGCCACTATATTATCAGTGACGACAAATGTTGACACTGTATAGGCCCAAGAAGGCGTCACCAAAGAAACCAGCCGCTAAGAAAGCCAAACGTGAACCAACACCAGAGCCTGAACTCGAAGAAACGACCACATCTGCATTTTTCGGCAGCTCGAATAAACCCAAGCGAACAGAACCTGTAAAGAAGAAGGCAGCCGAGGCACCAAAGACAACACCGAAGAAACCTGCTGCAAAGCCGAGTGGGAAGGCAGCCAATGGCAAAACTTCTGGGCGTGCGAAGAAACTTGTCACATCATACGCTGAGAGAGATGACGACGATGAGTTTCCGGATGATGATCTTGACGGTGGGGACGATATCTTTGGGGATGACATCAAGGGTAAGAGCAAGGATGACTACCAGGAGGCTTCAGAGAGCGACGAAGATGTACCCATACAACTGCCACATCGTGGGACACCAAAAGCTCCAGCAAAGCAACAAAAGGCAATCAAGGACGAGGACGAGGACGAGGACGAATTCGAACCCGACGACGAGGATGTGGATATGAAGGATCTGGATGGTGACGACGACTTTGATGAGGAAGAAGAAACTGCTAAGGCCAAATCGAAGAAAGTTTCGGCTGCCAGCAAGAAACGCAAGTCCCCAGAACATGACGAAGATGAGGACGATGAGGACAAGCCGGCAAAGCCCAAGGCGAAGAAGGCTGCTCCAGCAAAGTCACCAGCGAAGAAAAAGGCGAAGAAAGATGATGTCGAGGATAGCGCTGACATTCAAGCCATCTACGACAGCATACCTACCGTGCGCGCTCCAACACCTCCTCCCAAAGACCCGAATGGGAAATTCAACTGGCAAGCAAATGCGGCCCGTGGCGATGCTGGACCTGCGCAAGGCTCGTCCGCTGATATGCCACAAGGTTCAGATACCTGCCTTGCTGGGCTGAATTTCGTCTTCACTGGTGTGTTGCAAAAGTGGGGTCGAACTGAGAGTCAGGAGCTGGTCAAGCGTCACGGCGGTAAAGTGACTACCGCTCCGAGCAAGAAGACCAATTACGTCGTCTTGGGTGAAGACGCTGGGCCCAGCAAGCTGCAGAAGATCCGGGACATGAACATCAAGACAATTGATGAGGATGGTCTAACGCTACTCATTGAGAAGTTGACAGCCGCGGGCAACAAGGGCGACAGCAAAGCTCAGGCAGTGTATGCAGAGAAGCAACGCAAGGAGCAAGAGAAGATTGAAAAGCAGGCTGCAGAACTTGAGCTAGAAGAAAAGAAGCGTCAGAAAGAGTTGAAGGCTGCAGCTGCGGCGGCTGGGAACAAGGCATCCTCTGCCGTTACCGCCGCTGTGCAAAGCGCAGGCCCAGAGGTCGACTCTCGATTGTGGACAACCAAGTATGCACCTACGTCACTTGCCCATATATGCGGAAACAAGGCGTCAGTCGAGAGACTACAACGATGGCTGCAGGCTTTCCCGAAGAGTCTCAAGACAGGGTTCAAACTTGCTGGCAAAGATGGTAGTGGAGTATTCCGTGCCGTCATGATTCACGGACCACCTGGTATCGGTAAGACTACTGCTGCACATCTTGTTGCTAAGCTTGAAGGTTACGACATTGTTGAGAGGAACGCCAGTGATACTCGAAGCAAGAAGCTTATTGAAGACGGTCTGCGCGGTGTCCTTAGTACCAACTCCCTTCACGGGTACTTTGCAGGAGATGGAAAGAAAGTCGAGGGCTCTAAGAAGAAGCTCGTACTCATCATGGACGAGGTTGATGGTATGTCTGCAGGTGATCGAGGTGGTGTTGGTGCACTCGCAGCTGTTTGCAAGAAGACGGAAGTTCCCATGATCCTCATTTGCAACGACAGGAGGCAGCCCAAGATGAAGCCATTCGACTATGTAACGTTCGACCTCCCCTTCCGACGACCAACTGTTGATCAGGTGCGATCACGTATCATGACGATTGCGTTCCGTGAAGGTCTCAAGATGTCTACCCCAGTTATCAATGCTCTTATTGAAGGCAGTCATTCCGATATCCGCCAAGTTGTCAACATGATATCCACTGCCAAGATCGATCAAGAGGTCATGGACTATGACAAGGGCAAGGCCATGTCGAAGAACTGGGAGAAGCATGTCGTCTTGAAGCCGTGGGACATTACGCAAAAGATTCTAGGTGGTGGCATGTTTGCTGCGAGCAGCAAGGCTACGCTTAATGAAAAGATCGAGCTCTACTTCAACGACCACGAGTTCAGCCCGTTGATGCTTCAGGAAAATTATCTTGGCACAAATCCCATCCTGTCGGGAGGCTATTCTGGGAAGGAGAAGAACCTCAAGAATCTTGAGCTTGTGTCACAAGCAGCGGACAGCATCAGCGATGGCGATCTTGTCGACCGGATGATTCATGGCTCTCAGCAGCAATGGAGCTTGATGCCTACGCATGCAGTATTCAGTTTCGTGCGACCGGCAAGCTTTGTAGCTGGTAACACTGCTGGAAACCAGACACGCTTTACATCGTGGCTGGGCAAGAACAGCTCTGCCAACAAGCTCAGTCGAATGGTCAAGGAGATCCAGGCTCATATGCGGCTGCGATCTTCTGGCGATCGACATGAGATCCGTCAGCAATACGTTCCGATGCTCTGGACTGATCTTGTTCAGAAGTTGCAAAAGGAGGGCAAGGAGGCAGTCCCAGAGATTATCGAGTTGATGGACAGCTACTATCTTACCAAGGACGACTTTGATGCAATCATGGAGCTGGGTGTTGGTCCTATGGATCAAGAAAAAGTGAAGATTGATTCTCAGGCCAAGTCAACCTTTACTCGACTGTAAGTTTGGAGATGAGACTGTGGATTTTGACTGGATAACTAACTAGACACTAGATATAACCAGCAATCGCATCCTCTGCCCTTCATGAAGGCTTCGACAGTTACGGCGCCAAAGAAACAAGCCAAAGAGAAGCCGGACTTGGAAGAAGCGATTGAAGAGTCGGACGAGGGCGAAGTGATTGAGGAAATCAAGGATGAAGATGATGAAGATGTTGATCTTTCAAAGGACAAGTACGTCAAGCAACCGAAGAAGAAGGCTGCACCCAAGAAGCCGGCTGCGGCGAAAAAGGGGGCAAAGAAGGCCAAGGATGAAGACAGTGAGGATGAAGAAGACGAGGATGCCAAGCCAAAGGGTAAGGGTAAGGGCAAGGCGAAGGCGCCAGCAAAGGGAAAGAAGTGAGGTGTGTTTGGGGTAAGCTGTGTGTCAAGTAAGGGCAAAAGGCGGGGGACTACATATTTCTGCAATTACCTGTTATATCCCGGTAGTACATGTGTCATGTTAGCGGGCGCATTTACTTATATGGTTGATACGCAAACTTTGTTGTTTAATCGAAATATAAGCAATGTACAATTTTATCACGACAAGCTATGGATACGGGACAGTGTAGTGTACATGTCATTCAGTCATTGAAAACATTTGTTCTTTTTAACATTAAGCATTACTTCATATCCTCTCAAACCACACACAAGGCAGCAACAAGCCCAACCACCAACGCACTAACAGCACCCTGTCCCATCCTCTCCGCCGCATTCTGCGTCTGCTGCGGCGACGGCGGCGTCCCTGTCGAAGGCGAAGGCCTGGTCCCATCCGTCGCCGTCCCATTCCCCACACCACCAACACCCTCCTCCCTCTTCCTACTAACCTTCTCAATCCGGCCATCCAGCTCGATATCGACAGGCGACTGCGCCTGAATATACCTCGTCAAGACCTCGTCCTGGGTATCCAGGCTCACAAAATCCGTCGTCGTCTCAAAGAAATTATCGCCGCCGCCGGCGATGAAATCCAGCGTGACCATCTGATAGGTAGTATCGTTGTCGAGCGGCTTTCCGGCGATAGTGACGGCGATGAGTTTGGTATTGTTGGCGTTGTCCGGGTTGTATTGGACGGTGATGCCTGTGCTGATTTGGAAGAAGGAAGTTACGGGGCGGCCGTTGGCGAGGTTGATGCCTGTGAGGATGCCTTCGAGGGATTCCCAGAGCAGCTTGCCGGAGATGGGGAGCTGGACGATGGAGTTGCCAAAGGGGAAGGAGGTGAGGACTTCGCCGCGGGTGATGTCGCCCGTGTCGATGGTGGCGCGGATGCCGCCGGCGTTGATGAGGGCAAAGTCGACGTCGTCGGTGTTGTTTTTGCGGTACGAGAGCATGGCGTCGGCCATGAAGTCGCCTAGGAGGCATTCTTGCTTCTGGCACGTCGTCTGGTCCAGCTCGACGTTGGTCGTGCCCAGGACTTGGGCGGCGAATTCTTCAAACGGGCCGCGCCAGGCTTCGATTTCAGACTGCAGGGACGAATCTTGCTCGGTGGTGTTGGTCAGGTGGATCGGCGCGCCGTGGTAGGCGAGGATCTTGCCAGACGGATCGTAGGTTACGTCGATGTAGCCGACGTATTCGCCCCACCGGTAGGAGGTTACGATGAAGACTTCGTCGCCGTCTTTGTTGTCGACAATGGTTGGGTACTTGCCTTCGGCGTCTTCCATGTCCCCGAGGAGCGTGTGGCTGTGGCCGCCGATGATGAGGTGGAGACCAGTGGTGGCTTTGGCAAGTTCCTGGTCCTTCTCGTAGCCGATGTGGGTAAGAGCTGCGATTCTGGTGATGTTGGTGGTGCTCTTGATCTGATCGATGGCACCTTGCACGGCCTGCATTGGTTGTTAGTCTTTTTTGCCATTTTATCTGATTGTAGATTGCAAAACAAAAAAAAGGCCTACCTCGACAACATCAGAAAAGACAGTGGTTGGATCAGCGTTACTCAAGCTGGCGGTTTCTTGCGCGGTGACTCCAATCACTGCCAGGTCGTGCTCCTCAAAGATGGTCCAGGGCTTGACCGTCTTGTTGACATTTGGATCTTGGGAGTGCACATTGGCGCTGACAACGGGAAACGTAAGATTGACAAGAAACTCTCCAAGCTCAGCATCTCCACCGTCAAACTCGTGGTTTCCAAGCGTCATGGCGTCGAACTCGAGCTCGTTGAGAACCTCGGCAATCTTCTCGCCGCCATAGTAGCTGTAGAACAAGGTACCTTGGAATTCATCACCAGCATTGAGCCAGAGACTGTCTTCGACGTTGGGACGCTGCTCCTCAATCACATGCTTGACGCGGGCATAGCCTCCGTAGCATCCTCGCTCAGGCCTGGTGCAGTCGGTTCCTGAAGAGCTGAACTCGTCCAGATGGGCGTGCACGTCGTTAATGTGGAAGAATGCTGTGTCACGTGAGCAACTATATATGGCAGACTATGCAATTTGGCTTACAGATGTTGTAGTTCCCGTCCTGGTCGAGACCACGCTTCACCATGCGCTTACTGTACAAAACATCCTCTGCACAAGCAAGTGTAGACAAGGCTGAGAGGGCAACCAGAGAGGCGCCTGATGCAGTAGTGAACTTCATCTTCGCCGACTCAACTCGAACAATTGACTTTGAAAACGAAAGTAGGCACAAGCACGAACAACAGAAAGCACATTTTTTTTCTTCAGCTAGGCTATTATATAACTATATGTTCCCCGGACGTCTCCGCTGACTTTCACAACATCTCTCCTTGGCACATCTTGGTGTGGCCGTGCACAGGTCTCGGCAACTGCCTCTTCCAGTCTAATGCTCAACCACGCGTGATAACAGTCTGCCAATCACGGCGACACGTGTGAAGCAAAGCACATGCAGTCCTCCCGTCCACGGCATCTTGTACCTGGATACCGGACCGCCACAAAAGGCACGGAGATTGGGCGAGGTTGACAGCAGCACACGTGGGCTTGTGTGTTGGAAGGAAAAAGAAACTTGACTTGTGGCGATGCATGCAAGAGCGCGGAGACGGAAAGTGTCAAGGCAGACTGGAGGAGCTTGCATCCATCCTACGTACTGCTATGGATCATAGGCTGATATGACGCATGGCCAAACCCCAGAATCCCCAGAGTATGGTCCACGGATACTAGGGCCCAAAACACTCGCATCCCCCGAACACCGAAGTGGACTTGCTGCTCGACCCGGTTAAAGACTTGCATTTAGCGCAGGTCCATCTTCGGCCCAAGGCGACGCAAGTTCCACTTTGCCTATCTCGTCCTGTCCTTTCCTCTTCAACTCCAGACTTCCCTCTCGGTATATGGTCAACGGTCGATTGTCCAAGGCATGTCGAAAAAGAGTTGTTCGGATGTGCGGGGTCCCACCACTCGCCCCGCCCTGTCGAAAAGGACGCCCCGGCTTTGTTTTGATCGATCCTGTGGTACAGCTCAGCAGTAAAAGGGAAAAGAAAGCTTACTGAATAGTCATCGATGATCAGAACGTAACTCCTTACATCAATTATCCCGGTGCGTGTTGCTGATGTCGTCCTTGACAATATCTAGTATCGTCCTGCTTCAACGTCAGCAAATGAAACAGAATCATGTTAGCTGAGCAACGTACCTTCCATGCTTCTGTTACTTTGGCTTCAAACACCCGAGTCCGCAGTTTACAATGACGTGAAATGCTCGTTCGAAAAGAGCCTCCAGTTCCTCCTCGACCCAGCAACCGACTACAACACCGGCTTCTTATAAGCCGCAACCCGCCTCGTGGGAATAGTCGCAGGGCTATACGGCTCCTTGAACGACCCAAAGACCCAAACGGGATTGGCCATCCGTCGGCGACCAGTAGCCACGAGCCCACACCTGCCAACACCACTCAGGTCCTGGAGGATCCCAATGTCGTCTGCCTCGACGACCCCGGACGCTTGCAGGGCAATCTTGATAGCAGCATTGCCATAGTCGAGCTGACCCAGACCCGGCTGCTCACCCCTGGCAAGAGCCTCTTCGCGACGCTTTGCCTCGTACGCCTGGACGCTGGCGAAACGAAGGAGGAAGCGGCGCTTGAGCGTCAAGCTACCCGCTTTGTCGCTTTGGAACATCTTTGATGTCTTGGACCCGACCGAGGTAGGTCGAGAGTGCAGCAGACCGACGAGTGGGACCCATTCATACCGTGATGGCAGGGTATCAGGCGATGCGGACTGCTTGACGGTGTCCTTGGCGGAGAAGAAGCGTGGCTTGATAGGTCCTTCGGCGAAGGCGACCTGCTTCTTGATCGTGGCGGGACTGGATGGGCGTGCAGTCGGCTTTAGAGCGGGCTTTACTGCGTGAGCTCCACGATCCAGTGGCTTCTTGTCGGTACTGGGAGTCGCTGACTGCTTGGTACCGAGGTGTCGTCCAACGCTAGGCCGGGGCTTGTGATTTCCAGTAGCCTTTGGCTGCGCAACAGGCTTCTGGCGACGGGAGAGAGGAGTGGTGCGGATGTTGGCTGAGCACCTTCGCGAAGCCCTAGGCGGGGTGGTTGCCGGAAGGTGGCGCTTTCCATGCCCCTGAGGCTTTGTGGTCGTAGCCGCCTTATCGCTCTTGGCTGGTGCCGAAGAAGCGGGTTTGGTGACTTTGACTACGTTGCCTAGTGTTGTCCCCTTGGTAGCTGGTCGGGATGGTAGTAGTGTTGTCTTGACACCATCCTTTGGCGGGTTCGACGGAGCGGTAATGGTGCGTAGCTCTACATATTGTTAGTTATCATATCTTAGATAAATCAAGACCAATTCACTTACCTTTTCCTTGCTCCTTCACAGCCAGCCCCCTCCTAGGGCGCACGTGTGGCATGGTGACCCCTTCGCCCTTGTACTGCGGACAGTGGGCAAGTCCCACAAACCACGGCAATCGGTGGATCCGGAGTCCCAGTCCAAGTCGCTTCATGCTGGCCAGTTCGCGTCCGATGGGATTGGTGGTCGTCGTCTGTTGGTCAGCGTCAACACACTCGTCGAAGCTCTTGTCGTTGAAGAGCAGTGAGGAATCATCGATTCCCGCACCATTGGCCTCGTTTCGCTTGACAAGCTGCAGGATTTCAGAGTCGGCCTCGATAGGGCCGTTCTTTGGGGTCTTGTCTTCGCAGTCTTGGGAAACTGCTACTTGGTCTGCAGAGTGTGAAGTCAACTTGGCCTTGGGGGTCCGAACGACACTCACTGATCGGACCCAAAACTCCATGCTCTGGCGGATACGAGCCTCCTTCAACACCACAACCGTTGGTCTCGGGATCTTGGTCTTCGAAAACGCACCGGCACCATTCTGCTTGTAGTCAGCTCTGGATCGTGCGTGGAGTTGGGGTACACGAGTCGCCGAAGCGCTCGGTCTTGTCCTTGACGTCAACCCGTTGGCTGTGGGCAAGTTCTGCCTCGACGCAGCCAACTTCGTTCTTGGCTTTGTGGTTGACTTGTTTGATCGTTGGAGCTGCTTGTAAGGCAGCCTGATCGGATTGACAGCGACACTAGCCTGCTTTGCAGCACCGCGCATGTCGGGGACGCGGCGTGCAGGAGAAAGAGAATTGACAACTTTGCGAGTTGCTACAGAAGACATTGTGAATGTAACTCTGGATGCTGTTAGAGAACTGCCAGTGAATAGAGGAGATGTGGGTGTTCTCACGAAATGGGGCCAAATTGTGGTGGTGAACAGAGTGAGGTAGGTGGCGCTGTTTATATACACAACAGAAAGAGTGAAACCTGCTATGGCGCCATGGCAACCCGAAGATTCACTCTGAAGTCGTTTGAAACAAGACCAGATGGTTTTCTGTAAAAAGGAGCACGATAGTGGTAGATGGCAACGTACAAAGGCTGCAGTGACGAGGGCGAGTCTATGTGAGCTTACAGATGTGCAACAATTCGAGAGCCAACGACAGAGTCGGATAATTATACAAGAGAAACATATCAGGAGTATAATTCCAAAAGTCTGATAAGATCAATCCTTGTTGATATATAAGCATATTTGTCTTACGTTGGTAACGAAGGGTTGTAACAAGGTGGATGCACATACACGAATAGAACAAAGGGTGGGGTCGGGAGGGAATTTAAAGTCTACGAAGATTTCGAATGCGATTGCTTTAGAGACTGATTTCAAGCAAACTGTTTTACATTCACTCACTTCTGGTCACCCTCTCGATGCGCGTGAACACAATTTCTCCATGCAGAACGGAGTCAAAATTGCCTTATATCTATCTAGTTGAAGAAAAGTCTCAGTACATTTGGTACTTTTCACATCAATGCTTCATTGACATGAAAAAAGCACCGTTAAACCCCCATGTACATCACACATTCATTGTTTTGTCTACTTTCTTATCTTCACAAACACTGTTTTTTGATTTCCTTTTCATAATACATTACATTATGATAGACTGCACATCGCAGCATCCCAAGTGGAAATCTTCTTTTTCTAAAAGTCAAGCGGCAGTAATAGTCACGCTACCGCCCTCCAAGCCCTCCGCCATGGCTTCAACCACAATCTCTCCGGTTGCCCCAGCTTCACTCCTTACAATAGCCAGCGCCAAACCGCCGAAAGCCTTCCTGGTTGTCTCAGGGAATGGTACCAAATCTGTTGGGTCGCCGTTGTCCGTACTGACAATGACACCAGGGCCGGATGTGACCTTGAAGCTGATTGCGTGGTCGGCCGTCGGAACGAGAGTACCCTGGCTATCATGTACGGCCACAGAGATGAAAGAGAGGTCGTAGCCGTCACCGGTGATGGTAGAGCGGTCTGCAGTGATGTTGAGTGAGGCAGCAGATCCCGCTGTGACTTGCGACGCGGTTGCCCATTCTGCGCCATCCTTGTAAGTTACTACGGTGACGTTGCCGGGACTGTACTTGATGTCGTCCCAACGGAAGCGGTATTCGTATTCTGCCTTTTCCTTACGACCAGCAGAAACACCGTTTACGAAGAGTTCGGCTGCGTCACCAGAGCTGTAGACATGCACAGGAGTGGTCTCGCCAGTCCGGTCCTCTGGCCAGGTCCAGTGGGGCAGAATGTGAGCCATGGGAAGATCAGACCTCCAGCGAGATTGGTAGAGGTAGAAGCGGTCCTTCTTGAAACCTGCGAGATCGATGATGCCAAAGTAGGAGCTTCGGCTTACATTGGCGTATGGAGTGGGCTCACCAATGTAATCCCATCCAGTCCAGACAAACTCTCCTGCAACATAGGGGTGCATATCTTGCATTTGGAAGACTTTGTCCGGGGATGCAGCCCATTCCGGTGCGTAGAGATCGTAAGAGCTGATCTGGTTCGTCACAGGATCTCCGCCTTCGCCAGGTCCTCCACCGATTACAGCGCTCTTGTTGGGAGTGACAGGGAACAGGTACTTGCCACGAGAGCTGATAGTAGAAGCAGACTCGGTACTCCAAATCATCTTCTGGGGAAATGCCTTCTTGAAATCAGGAAATGAGCTTCGCCAAGAGACACCTTTGCCTTCTCCTTGGTAGTTTAGGCCAATAATATCAACGGTTGCAGCAACTCCAGTGCTTGCATTGGCATTGTTCATACCAATGGTAACTTTCCGAGTAGGGTCTTCCTCGTGAGCTATATCTTGAAGCATCTTAAGGGTTGCGGTGCCAGTAGCGTTGGATTGCTCCGGAAGCTCATTGCCAACAGACCAAGAGATGATGGAAGGGTGGTTCCGATCGCGGCGGATAAATGAACGAAGGTCAGGTTCATGCCATTCTTGGAAAATGCGATGAAAGTCGTTTTCTACCTTTGCGTAATTCCAGGTATCAAAAATCTCGTCCATGACCAGTAGGCCCATACGGTCAGCGAGATCCAGGTATCCAGGTGCTGGTGGATTGTGCGAAGTCCGGAGAGCATTGTTGCCCATCTCCATTAGAATCTCAATCTGGCGCTCTGCAGCTCGTACGTTGAAAGCAGCGCCTAGCGACCCAAGATCGTGATGGTTGCAAGACCCTTGCACGTAGGTGCGCTCACCGTTGATAAGAAGACCTTGATTTGGGTCGTATGCGACGGAACGGATACCAAAGACAGTTTCATAGGTGTCCACCTCTGTTCCGTCAATTGATACAGTAGTAATAGCAACATACTCATTGGGTTTCTGAGTTGGTGCAGGCCCCCAAAGCTTAGGGTTTGCTACTGAAACTGAACCTTTTACAGCTTGCTTCGAGTTCCCTGCCACATCGGTGTTTGCTGTTGGGAAAGTCGCAACACTATTGCCCTTGGCCGCCTTGGATGTAGGGTCGCGCTCGTAGATCTGAGTAACCACCTCAACACTCTGGCTGCTGTTGGCCTTGTTCTCAACTTCAACGACAATATCAACAGTTGCCTCGGCTTCTGAAATGCTAGGAGTAGTGATGTAGGTTCCCCATTGCGCGACGTGCACAGGATCAACAGTGACCAGCCAAACATCTCGGTAGATTCCAGCACCGGGGTACCAACGTGATGAATCCAGCTTATTGTCCAAGCGAATAGCAAGGGTGTTTGCTCCAGATTTGGCGTAGGGCGTAAGGTCTAGACGGAAAGAGTTGTAGCCAAAAGGCCACCCTCCCACAAGTTGGCCATTGAACCACACCGCAGCGTAGGCCATGGCACCTTCAACATCAAGGAAGATGGACTTTCTGGAGTCGATAATCTCAGCATCAATTGAAACTGATCGTCGGTACCATCCAATTCCGTTAATCGGCAGAAACCCTAGATCGCCAGTAACACCAGGAGCGTCGAATGTTCCTGTAATGGCCCAGTCGTGCGGTAGAGTGACTGCTTCCCAGGCTGCGTCGTCGAAGCTCGACTGCACATAGCTGGTGTTGGAGCCAGGTGCAGCGCCAGAAGGGCGTTGGTATTTATCTCCAACAATGAAGTTGTTTGCAGAGGGCATAATCCATGGCTTCAGCGTCTCGTAGCTCAGGCCATCGGGATTGGACGTGAAACGTGAGAAGCGCCAATCCGCGTTGAGAGACGAGCGCACACGGCCCGTTGAAGCCATACGCGGTTTCTTGACAACATGTGCAGATGTTGCATCGAAACAAAGCGAAAACAAGAAGCCGAGTAGGACGAATCTGTACGTTTTGTACAGAGTCCCAGATGAGCTCAACATCTTGAACAACCGGAACAGCGTTGATGAAGAACCAAGCTGCAGGATTCGTTCATCCAAGAGGCCAAATCAAAGAGTGGCGCTACCGCCGGCTATGCTGAAAAAGTTGGAGTGCAGTGGTACATCCATCGTCGGCATCGCGTCTTTTGTATGTTCGGCAAAAAGGCGCCATAGGAACGCATAGGGTGCGGGTCATCTCTTTCCGTCTCCCTGCACGTATCTCGTCACGGCCGGAAAATTGAAGAACAACAGGCCGTCTCGGCACCGGACGATAGGCTATCTGTCGAATGATGCCTAGCAAATGGTACCTATCGAGGGAAGGAAGCGGAGACTCTAAGCCGTCCCGCACTGTAACGTTGTATGCAGAGTGCGGGGTGGCTCTCTTGGCTCTGCTTAGCTCTCGCCTTGAGTTTGGCTGAGCCGGGCACAGACCTGTATTTTGTGAAGTCTTACCCAAAAGGACCTTGACAAGTGAAGATCCTTGTTGTCGCTTGCCGGTTGATGGATGATATCAAGAACGTGACGTCGTGCGCTAACCCCAAAATCGACTTCGATCCGCTTGCTGTCACCTTCCCGCTACGTGAGAGAAACCGTTACTCGAGATTGTGTTTTTCGGAACCCACATTTTCCTGCTTTCGGTGTGGTAAGCTACAGTGGTGGTTATAGCATAATCTTTGAGAGACGTGGTTCGATTGAGAAGGAGTGCCGACGGCCGAGTGCTCCACAGCTCCGATTAACTAGCCGCGATAGGATATCAGTCAATCCACTCGACTTGCTCGACGAGATAGCGCCAAATATGGGTGTCTGTTCTATTAATCCTGCAATGCGTTAAATGTCTCAGTGGACTAGAAAATCGCAAGGCTCTAAGTGAATGAGTAACGCCAAGCACGACAGCCAGAATATAGTTGTCCATGCATCTACGACATCAAACCGTCTAATCTCAATTATTTGTATTATTTCTGCCGCTTAAAACCCTGGAAATTGAATAGTAGCATCGAATCATGCTGTACGTATTCACCGTACCAATGCGCAAAAGTAGTCGAGCGCACGCCGCATCGGACGCCAGAAACAGCGTAGCCTCCACGTACCACCTCTTTATTCCCAATGAAAAGATCGTGCCACGATGCAGAACTCGAGGTCCATTAAGGATCGGAAATTATCACAAGCTGAGGCTTCGATGTTCGTGGTATATATGATCATTGGAACCTGGGAATCAGGATGCTGAGTCCATCCGCGATTTGATGTGTACATATTTTCGAGGTTTGGTCCTCTGGACTATATGTGAATAGGTCGAGAAAATAGACCATGGTAGGTGTTTTCGCATTCTATAACATGTGTTTCCAAAAATTGGCATCTTATCAGGCAGCGGGCTGGGAAAATTGCTTGCGCCGTGCCGAGCCGTGCAATTACCATTGACTGCAGAGTACAGGCTATTTCATCTCACTTGGTTTCTCCAAGTGAGATTTGCCTCGACTACTCTCAGACATACATAGCTCCAATACCGTGTTGCAAAAGGGGAAAACGGCAACACTAGAGCGAAGTATGTGCATACAAAATAGCGGTGAGCTGAAGGCGCAGTAAGTGCAATAAGAATTTTATATTGCAGAAGCCAGCAGCTTGGATCCGAGAAATTCGACGGCAGGCGATTTTATGATCAAAATCGTACAATCAAATGGGAAGTTCGGCGCTTGTTTGTTTCTCGTGAGATCCCGACAAGAAGAAGACCCTACGTCCTCAGGTGGTGAGAAGTTATGCTGTTTCTCATTAGGCTTTAACACTGTTGAAAGCACGAGAAATGATGAAACTCCCCTCAGGCCGTGTAATCTCATGATCCTTGTAAACTGTAATATGAAAGCGGGAATACAAATCAGGAATTAGGTTTATAGATACCAAAGGTACTCTGGCGAGCCTGAATGGCCCAATTACAAATCTTCACATAAGTCTCTCGAAGTCGAGTAGTCGGAGGTGGAGGCAAGCCTGTCTTAATTATAATACGAAGGCCTTAATCAAGTCCCGTATCCTTCATCATCGTCATCTGCAACTCGAAGTTCCACCAGACAAATATTAATTGGTCCTCAAACGCCATCATCATGGAAATCCAGGCAATCTTCCTCCTATTGGCCGCCAGTGTCTTCGCCGGTGGCTCCGGCTGGGTGACTACCATCACGGAAGAACGCATTTTCGCACGCTGATTGCCTGAAATTCAGGAATGCTACAAGAGATCTGAGAAATTTAGAAATGACCACGCTGAGCTGCCCGAAGGCATGGATCCGGACTATATCTTCAGCTACTGTCCAGAAGCGAACGGATGTTGCGCCAATGGCAAAACGTGGTACCCCTGCAATAGTGTAAGTTGAGTCTACTTGGTGGCTATGCGATGCACTGATGATTTGCAGACATGTGTGCCGGGAAATTCCTGTATTGGATTTAATAACACTGCTTTTTGCTAGGGTTGTGATGAGCTGGGAGCCTAGATAGCATTGCTTTGGATCTGCTGAGTTAGCTGATAACTTCCAAGAGTATTTAATGGGCGTATTTGGTCACAGTGTGCCTGTGCATACAGTGGTGTGATAAGTGGCAGTGGCTAGCTGGAGTAGAGTAGTAAATCAGTCTCCACCTTTAGAATCATTTTTCCTGATTTTCTTTATTAATACTAATCTAATCAGAAAGCTTGATATTAGTAGAAAAGAAATAGGAACAATGATTCTAAAGGTGGAGACCTGTTCGCTAAACCAGCTTTACTGAAGAATTACTAATAACTCTGTATGTAGAGAGGTAACGCAAACCAACACTCTAAAAAGTTCTAATTTCAAAACTATAATATCCACTACCGTTTACACTGCCAAAGTATACTGATACAATCAATCTGCTAAGAAATAATACACCAATACTATACTTCTCTCAGCCATCCTCCGGCTTGTGATTATTTAGAGTTTCCCTTCTAGTAAGTGTCACTCCGCTGCTGACGTCTATTTCTCCGTAGCCGATGTTAAATGAATCAGCACTAAACACAATTATTGTTCGAACCTTAATTTGGGCATTAAGACAGCAGTTAGCTCCAGGTTCTTGCGGGGACCTCTGGACAAAACTCAGGAGTCTATTAACCCTTTCCCTTTGAGCGTAAAATAGAGACAGCAATGAACCACAGTTATTTACTATGTTTACTTATCCGCACGCTATGTACACTATGCAATTAACTATGCTAAATTAGATATCTTGATAACAATATGTGCTGACTAGCTAATAGAGTTCATTCAACACTTATAGTATATCCTGGCGATAGCTCCTTGTGCACATGAGTCTTTAGGTTATTGCCGGTTCCGCCACCTAGGAATAGGGGTTCGGCTTCACTAACAACACAGTAATATCTAATTTTGTCGCTAATAAGCTTTCTAAGAGACTAACAAGTGGTGTGCAAAGCATATATATACACTTGTCTTAGCCTTTGCAATCTAGTTAACTACCGTCATCTGTTTCTCTAGATAATCTAGTTTGTATTCACCCCACTGCATCACTATATTAAACTCGTTTTCTACAATGAATCTCTACTCATAGCTTTACTTCTTGGTACTCTCGGCTCGCAAGATGTTAGCGCTGCTGCTCACTGCTACGTTCTTTATGCAGCTCAATGGTGGTGCTGCGAAAGTTATTTCGAGAAGAACGGAATTCCTTGTCGCAAATATGGGGATGGGTGTGTATTTGTTGAAGGAGCTAATATCCCTGGCTTGAATGAATTACAATACTCTGATTGCTCGGATCAGTGTCGACAAAAATTCGGTGCGAAGTGGAACTATTGCTTAAGAAACATGTAAGAGAATTAGATCTATCTGATTCTATATAGGTGGTAACGCAACTTATAAGCATAGCTCTCTATCGTGCATAATCTTGTTAGAGTCTGTTTAGTTTTGCTACCTATAGTGTGCCGGTGCAGAGGGTTACTAGTGACTCTTGTGCCAGAACTATAGGTTGGGCTGATGAGTATAAGAAAGGAACTTTTGTATTCGAAAGAACCTTATACAACATTTTAGTTCAAGGTTACAATATAGTACGTGCAGACCTAGGGTACTAGGTGCAAGTTTAGGTAATTATAAAGTTTAACTACCCAAAAATATCCTATTTACTCCCCAAACGATAAATCTTCGGCGGGTGGATTAGCAGTCAGGTAGGTGATCACTGGTGAATCCCCGCTGTTATATGTTTTTGTTTATGTTTTTTGCTTTGGCAACATAGCGTTTTTAGCAAGTATTCACAAGATACTTGCCAAAAACAGGAGAATGCAACCAATATGTTGCCAAATCGGATGTTGTGAGTTCAAGATACAAGAAGTAGACTAGTGTCATTGTAGAATAGTTATCAATCTTTGAGCGGCTTTTAGCAGGTATATTTGCCTCTATTAAAGATATGTTTTTTTAAAGATATTGCCTTGTGGAGATTACTTCTTATCTTCCACAGCTTTTGGGCTGCAAAATCAGCAACTATTACTCAGGACGTAGTAACGCATCGTACCTCAGCTCATAACAAATTCAGTCAACCCACTTTTCTCCCCAAAAAGTATCTCACATGTACAAAAACCATGTCAAACTTGACCACTCGTCCTAAACCACTACGTGCGAATAGCCCCAGTACAACACGCATCTAAATTTACCTACCCCTCACTCTAAGCGGGGGACGCCAAAGGCCTCCCCACTCAGTACGCTAAGCCCCAACCGTCCAGGGTCCTTCTTGGCACCGAACGTCACATCTTGGTTCATTCATGCGTCCAGTCCTGCGTCCAAACCCCCAATCCAAATCAAATCTTCCACACCTACAAGTCTGCCTGAGACTAAGCCTCGCCTCTAGCTTCTACGTGCCTGCATAAAAACTCCGACAAAACCCTTGCAGACGCCCAACACCACTTGAACCCGACCCAGCCCGACCAGCCAGCACACAACCACCCCCCCCGTCCCACAAGCCCAAAATGTCCGCCTACGAACGTGAACAACAAAACGACTCGCGCCTCGATGAACTCGCATCCAAAGTCTCTGCGCTGCGCGGCGTAACAGTCGACATATACGACAGCGCACGCGACCAGCATGTTCTCGACAACACCGTACGTCTCTTTTCCTCATTCCCTCACCCCCCTTACACACCCTTCGCCATACCCTCACCTCTTGCTTTTCATGCCTGTGCCGCCTTCCCGCCTAAACATGTGAATAATTACTGATATGTCTTTTTGCAACATACAGAACGAAACCTTCTCCAACATGGCCACATCCCTCAAAGGCTCAGCAAGTCGACTGACGCGCATGGCGGCGTCGGGGAACAAAGTGGCGATATTCAAGCTGAGTGGCATGATTGTTGCGGCGTTTGTGGTACTGTATTGGATTTGGCATTTGATCTTCTGAGCGGAATGCGAATCCGATTGCGACAAAACCAAGATGATTGTGTCAGAAGAGGCGGCGGAAGGACAGGCGTGGGTGTCTGAAGAGCAGGAAGGTGGATACGGTATTTTTTTCATGTCCAGACACGAGGCTTGAGACAATAGGATGGGTCGGTGTGAAGGGCTGGTTGGGGTAATTACGCGTTTCGCTGCAGACGACCACGAGACCGAGTTGAGCATAGGAAAAGGGGGTCGAGATTAGGTTGAGGGTGGAAGGGAGCATGATTCATCATGTGTATTGATTTATTGTTATTGGGTTGGGGACATGGGGCATGTCAGTCAATTCCTTGCATATGCGGCGTTCATGGTTGCAAGGGAAAGCGATGGGAGCATTTGATCTTTTTTCTGATATACAAGTTCAAAAGATTTCTATAAGCAATTATGTATAACATGCATATTACGCTCTCGATTCGGCATTGATTTGCAAACCTCGACTGTAATAGCTCGTACAAACTTCTCAATATATGACAACTTACTCCCAAACATTGGAGAACAAATCATCGCTCGTGCCACCAAATCCTCCTGCGGGCTTGCTTTGGGTAGTGGTAGTGTTGGAGGTTGTCGTGGGTGCAGCACTGCTCCAACCACCAAAGTCGTCATCCTGCGTCACTTTAGGTGCGTTCCAGCTAGTCGTTGTTGCCTGCGCGGTGGATGTGGTTGCTGCAGGCTGGCTAGGCGCGGACGATGCCCAGACGTCATTACCACTCCAGGCATCCATGTTTGAGAACCCTGAGTAGTTGACCGCTGGTGCAGCAGGCGTAGACTTTGTAGCAGGAGCAGGCGCGGGTGAAGAGAGGTTGAATGCCGAGTTGGCGGGCGGCGATGCTATTGGCGGTGAGGTAACTTGTGGTGCAGGCGCGGAAGGCATGGAGAGATCAAGGAGGTCGGCCATACCAGACGCTGCCGGAGCTGCAGGCTTGGATGGCGCAGGTGAAGAAAAGGCACTAAAGTTGCTCGCTCCTCCGGCAGGGCTCATGGTACGACTCTGTGGAGCAGGCTTTGAATCAAAAAAGTTGCCGCCGCCACCAAACATGTTAGAAGAAGATGACGATGCGGGTGGTGATTTTTTGCTCGAGAAGCTATCCAGACCAGAAAATGGTGAGGGCTTAGGGGCAGGAGCAGCGTTGAAGGACAAGCTGCTGAATGCATCGTTCATACCGCCAAACGATGACTGCTGTGGTGATGCCTGTGCCTGGGATGATACGAGTCCACTAAAAGAGTCTTGACGAGCATGCTGTTGTGGCTGAGGCGCTGCCGCGGGCTTTGCAGCATACAAAGACAGGATCGACTGCTTGAGGTCTGGTCTTGAGGGTGCAGCCGTAGTAGCAGGACCTGTGCTGGATGGACGAGCGGGTGCAGCAGAGGATCCTCCGCCGAGAAAGTCGAGGCCTAGCAATGAATCTCCTGCTTTGTGCTGTTTCGGGGGCGCTGGTTCTGCCTTTGGGGGTGGTCGTGCAGCAGCTGGCGGTCCAGTGCTCGGTCGCTCGGGAACTGGATCATCCCCAAAAAGGTCGATAACAGGCTGCTGTTGTGCCTGTCGCTGAGGGGGCGGGGCACGGCCGGAGCCTTGTGCCAGGCGTTGCGAGGCTGAGCGTTCTATTTGTACCTTCTCCTGCACCTTACTCAATGGCTAGGGTTGCTGTTAGTCCTTGTCTTCAAGGGGGCTTGCTCATACTGACCACATCATCATCGTCACTGTCCAGAGTGGAAGGATCCGGCATGGGCCCATCCATAACCCAGCGTTTTGATTCATACTTTGTACGGATAAAGTTCTCAATCTTGGCCTCGGATGGAACGTGGCCAGGTGCCAGTTTCGATTCCCAGTATTTGTTGGCTCGCGCATTTCCCCATTTCAATACACTCTCGAGTTGTTCGTCAGTCCAGGTATCGAGGTCAACCGACTTGACCCTGCTGATATGCGTTCCCATGCCGCGGTGTATGCCCGAACATCGAATGCATATGAAGACGCCCAGATTCCAGCTTGCCCATCGTGGGTCTGCGAAAGTGTTAGCTGGCGCAGGCCACAATGGCACACGAGTCTTACGCTTGTTCCGCTTGCAGTCTGAGCATGTCTTGTTGCCTTCGAGCTTTACCAAGTTCTTCAGTGTGGCGCGATTCTGCTCCGCCCGGTCGGCGGCAGGGTTGGGCCGTCGTGACATTGTGGGGTAAGTGATTGTGTGCGGAGACTAGGTGCAGATTGCGGAATCGTAGACTCGGCGCGTGGTAGGGTGGAAGAAAAGCAGTATCTCGCGAGTGCACGTGTCAACGTCGAGAAAGGTGGTTGAGTGGGGATTGGGCTGTTTCATTCGTGCCTGAAGCGTTTGGTGTGCCCTAACAATGACGCTCGGCTTGGCACCGCATCCCACCATCCCCTCCTATGTGACGAGAATTACTTTTATACGCTCTGCCTATGAGTGCCACATTTTGGGCAGCAATTGGTTGCCGGGCGATCCACATGTTGAATCATGGGTGGATTGGTCATAACAGGGGCTGCCCTGTTAGAAAGAAGTCATTGGATTAGTGCTTGTAAACGCCTGCCCCGGGTATCGCCAATGTGGTATGCTATACTATAATACATGCGCTGACCGTTAATTACTTTGCTGACTACATGCAGCAACAACGTCTAGGCGGGGCGAAACCGCCAGTCGTCCCAGTCCTCGTCATCCGACTCGCTTTCTTCATCTTCTTCATTCTGAGGAGCTGCTGGCTCCTGGTTTTGTACATCGCCTGGCCGTCCAGACACGGACCGCAGCGCCTCTCTCTGCTCCCGTAGCCTCTTAACCCTCTCTTCGAGTCCTTCCATTTCCTCAAACTCGTCCTCGAGAGCCCGCGCAGCATCTTCCTTCTCCCCCTCCATTTCTTCGTCCCTCTTGGCGCGTTGTGCACTCTGATCTTCTCGCACTTGGGCAGCAAGCTGGGCAGCTGTCATGGGTGCTGCCTCTATGACGGCACCTGAATAGGCGGACTTGGCCGGCTGTGGGGTCGGCTTCTCTTTGCTCATTTCGGTCATGAAGGCATCGAGCTCTGCTTGTGCAGCAGCATCGAGTGGTGGGTCTACGGGCGCGGGAGGCTCGGGGGGTGGGATGTCTGCTACTGTTGGGCTCTCTTCTACTGGGATAGGCGCGACTTGGTCGTTGTCGTTATCGTTGTCGTCGTTTGTCACGCCCGCATCGAAGAAACCGGCCGGAACGCCTGCCTCCTCCTCGGTTCGTGTACGCTTCTTCTCCTCTCCGCCCTGATCAGGAGCCTTCCGCTTCTTCGCTGTCGGTGCTGCTGCGGGTGCCGGAGACTGCTTCTGGGGCTTCTGGGCCTGCTGGCGTGCTGCACGTTGTTGTCGCAAGAGGGTTCGGGCGTCGGCCATTGTTTGCCGGGGATGGTTGCAGAGTCTACGTTGGTAATGAAGCAGTCGGATTGCTGTCAATCGACGTGGTTTGGTACAGTCCTGTCGCGCTTCAGCAAAACAGCTTGTCCAGCTTGTCCAGCCACGCAAAGGGTCCAGGTCGCTACTAGTGGCTGGGATTACGGCAGCCAAGACATCGGCAAAACGCAGCGTCCAAGCTCCACTCCACTGTCTCCTCACTGACACCACCCATCCCGACACCACACGACACACCGCGCCTCTGTCCGGCAATCCATTCACCATCTCCTACTGCCTCGCACTGCGCTCGCATACAAGCGCATACACCAGGGGCATCTTCCCATCCGCCATTGTCGTCTCTGTCGCGCCGGTTGCTGGTGCGCCGTCGGCTCCGTCCACGGGAGACACGCGCACGAGAAAGCTGCGACTCATATTCGGCAGGCTCGTCTCGCATCGCGGCTCCAGTCTGTACAAGCAGACGGGATACTTGTTGCTCTCTCTTTGACTAGTTAGTAGCCGGCTCGTACGGCGTGTCCGCTGGCCCGCCACGCCACGCGCAGGGCAGGATTGGGGCTTCCGTAGAGACTTTTTCTTTGAATCTTGTTGCGCACATAGCATAAGCTGCATTCGTGGTATCGTCTATTCTTTGAAGCCCATCACCCGTGTCCACCACCATGTCCGGTAAGCAGACACCATCTACACGCGCCCGTACAAGCTCCTCGTCGCGCACCCCGCACACCGCACGCGCGTGCACAACAACCTCTGAGCTGCATGCTCATGCCAATGCTCATGCCGATGCTGATGCTGATACCGCTGCCACAGATGAAATCAGGCGCTCCGGCCGCGCCAACAAAGGCCACCATACAAAGAACCAAGACGCGCTCGACGAGCCCGCTGCTGCCGCTCCCGCTACTCCCGCTACTCCTGCTGCTGCTCCTGTCGCTGCCCCAAAGTCCAAAGCAACCCCAGCGACTGAGAAGAAAGGACAAGCTCATAGTAAGAAAGGAAATGCAAAGGGTCCCTCTCAGCGCGCTCGGTCGACGCAATCGGCCGATGCGGAGGAAGAGGACGACGATGAGGAAGAGGAGGACGCCATCATCCGATGTGTGTGCGGTGACCAGCGCGACATTCGCGGACGGCAAATGATTTGTTGCGACAGCTGTACAGCCTGGCAGCACAACAAGTGCCTCGGCCTACCCGAGGGCGATTTCTGGGAGGGTAAGGACTACTACTGCGAGCAATGCAAGCCCGAAGACCACGTCGAGTTGTTGGCTGCCATGGCCCGTGGCGAGAGGCCGTGGGCGCGCAAGAAGGGCTCCAAACCCAAGCCTCGCGCCAGCGACGTCAAGCCGGATGCCCCGTCTGAGAAGGCAGTGACGCCTCAACAGTCTACACCTTCACAACCTCAGGCAGCTCCTGTTGAAGCCACTACTCCTACTCCTGCTCCCATCACAGTGCCCACCCCAGAAGCTTCCAACGGACATGCCGAACCAAAGGTACGCCCTCTTAATCCCATTGTTATGACCTCCATTCACAAACACAAGCAGGGCATCAAGAGTCAGCCGCAGTCTCCTCTCGGCGAAAAACGCCGCCATGACGCGGCCCCAGAAAAGGCCAACGCAAGCAAGAAGCGCAGAAAGTCGAGCCATCATGAAGCCAAGACGGAGCCGCGAGACCCATTGGCCACGGACATTGATGCCCTTCCTCAGAACCAGAAGGCTGTTGCAGAGAAGCTATGCGAAACCCTGGCACCCTTGATTACTTCTGCCTCGGACACCAGGGGATACCGCATCCCAGACGGTGAGACTGCCAAGTCTCTTGCTTCCAAGTATACCCTTCAAATGTGCCATGCTGCTTTCAACCTGTATGGCGAGCCTACTGGCGGATCCTCGCCATACTTTGGCAAAATGCGTACCATCATGTTCAATGTCAAGAAGAACACCGTTCTTGTAGATCGTCTGTTATCAGGAAATCTCAAGGCTGAGGATCTTGTGAGCATGGAAGCCGAGGAGATGGCGAGTGAAGACAAGCAACGCGAGTACGCGGCCATGCGAGAAGCGGCTGAGAAGCAAATGATTCTGACCGAAGAGACTGGACCTCGGCTGCGTAAGACACACAAGGGCGAGGAGATTGTTGGTGAAGACAACTTCGAGAACGATGACTTCAAGGAGCCCACTCAACGGGAGCGGGATAGTATTACGGAAGACGCAGTGGTACATTCGCCCGTGGCCGTGCCCCCATCCGAGAGCCCTGCTGCGCCAAGACAATCTGAGGCGGAAACACCCCAGCACGATGGCTTGCGACGAGCATCGACCAATTTTGATATCAACTCTGTCTTCGACAAGGTCCGTTCGCCGCAGCACGACCAGCAAACCTTCCTTCACCGCCGCCGCAGCTCCATGCATACACAAGACAAGCCTCAGAGCGCTGTAGATGATGCAGACGTTGACCGACTGCTCAAGGACGAAGATAACGACGTCGAAATGTCAGGCTACTCGTCTGATCCAACAGTCTGCTGGCAAGGCTCCATCAACATGCAGTCTATGGAACCGTTTGATGCTGTTGCCCGGTTCGTTGCAGGCGGCGACTTTGGCCAGGTCGTACCCTGGGAAAAGCTTCTGACCCACATTGTGGCAATCCAAGGACGTATTGAGAGTTCAAAGGGAAACGACTATATCCAGAGTATCGGACACACAGAGAGCCACGAAGTTTCTATTCTCGCCGTTAGCCCTGTCACCACCGAAGGACGCACAGTAATGGACCATCTCTACGAATACTTCCACTCGCGTGGCAGGTGGGGTGTGGTACCTGTTGAAGGCAACGACATACTTCGAGATCTTTATGTGATTCCCATTGAGGAGGGCGGAAGCAACCTTCCTCCCTTTATCGACATGCTGGAGTACTGCACCATTGAGACACCTCGCAAGGAAAACATGCTATTACTAGCCCTCGTAGCCAAGCTACCAGAGCTCAAGCCCCAACATCCGCCAACTGAACACTTTGAGCGATACCCAGCTCATGAGGCCGCAACAGGTCCAATCGCGCAGCCCGCTTTTGGCGGTGGCCCCAGTCCATCACCGATGACCAATCCTCACGCGCCGCAATTCTCACCGGTCAGCGCAGCCTACCCGCAGTATGGCAACCCATTCGCACCACCACAGGCGAACATGGTGCCCAACCCACAACCTCCGATGCCCATGCATACACCACCACACCACCAGATCCCGAAAGCGCTCGAGATTCTCGGTCCCTACATTGACGCGCCCGTCATTGTCACTATCCTGACTTCAAACCTGTCACAGAACGCAGTCGTCTCAGAATTGCAAATGATCAACCTGAGGCATATTGTTGAAACTGTGCCAGAAGCGCGGGACAACATTGCCGTGCTGACGAATCACTTGCAGTCCAAGACAGAGGCAAATCGCCAACAACAGCACGCCTAGCCATCAGGGCCTTTGTAGGACAATAACTGTGCGCAAATGGCATGACTTTTACGGAAATACACACGCACTGAGCGTTCGAGTGTGTAGCGTGTTGTATGATACAAAGGAAGTGGGGTGATTTATCAAAGGTCGCTGGCGCTTTGGGTGGTAAACATCTGTATTAAGTTTTGTCAGGGATCAGCCCTGCGTGGCGTTCCGTGGCGGCGGCGATGAGGGTGGGTGGGCTTTTTATGATTTCATCGGTATATTTTGTTGATACCCATATGTGGTGTTTTGTGTTGTTTCGCTCCTTTTTTGATTAAAAATGGGTTTTCGGTTCACTGGTAGCTTTGTATCTGCATGTCCACTCTTCCACGCCATGACTCTTGCAAGTGAGGGGTTTTTTCCATGTGAAATGATGCGGGTGATCGCTGATCGAAAGGATTCCAACTAGTTTCGTCCGTTGCGTTGTTGGTGTAATGTTAACACGACAAATCGCAGTCTTGGCTCTTGCACGACCGGTTATTTTATTCTAGACTAGAACGGCAAATCCCGTCTTGGGGTCTCGACTACAATCTAAGATCTACATAGATTTCCGGACGAATGTCCGACTCGACAGGAGCAGGGAGGTGTACAAGATACGAGTCAGAAAGAGAACCCAATCGGAACTTTATGATCATCATCACCGTCATCATTCCTTTTTCTTCTTCATCTTTATCTCCCGTAGCGAAAAAAAAAGGCGCCTTGTTCGCCGATTAAGTATTTTCCGCTTCAAAGTGACCCACCCCTCCCACGTGGGACGCGCATTAGTAAAGTTTACTTACCCAGAAAACCATCCAATCTCATCCCCTTTCTCCAACTTTTTTGCTTTTCTCTCAACCATCAAACCACCAGAAACCTAGACTCTTGGCCTACACCTCTAGCTAGGTACTATGCCATCTTCTTGTCATTCCCGGATCTTATTATTCCCACAGACTTGGCCCGCCACGTGGCAAATCCAAGGGTCCAAAAGTTCACAGACTACTTAGCTTATCTAACCCTGCAAAAATAAAAATGCGAATAAGAATGCGAAGAAAGAGGGCAAGAAAAAAAAGCACAGTCCAGCGACGAATGACGAGTTGTCCACCGCTACTTTGGCCTTATACCTGCGTATGGGGCATCCATGCGCGGGAGATGCCGAAAGAGAGGGAGATGTGTGGAGAAACCGAATGCGAAGCAGAATGCGACTAACCTACCTTGGGAGTGTGTAGTGTAGTGTGCCAGTTACCCAAATGCGGAATGTGCAGCGCTCCGCCCACCCCCAAGCATTTCCTTTGGGTGTGAACCTCGCAACAAGCTCCCAAGAAACGAATTTTGTCAGACAA